CATTGGTACCATGGAGCGAGTGTCAGCCAGAAGCCCTTGGCCAGGCTCTGGTGGCTCCCATGCTCATGGCACCAGTGGTCCTCATCCTTCTTGGACCAGGATTGCAACACCAAGTTTCAATGACTTCCTCTGGAGAACAGCCCAAACGGTGCTGCCTCCCACCAACACGACTACATTCCAGTGCAGCTGCTCCCCAGCTCACTGGGAGCTTGGGAAGCCAAAAGCCACTAGCAAGAAGCTGAGGCACAATGGTGATGAGGGGCCATAAATACCAAGATAAACTCTAAAGCTTAACAGCACAAGTATGATGGTGCCAGAAGCCAAACATGAGCTCCTGGCAGACAATGCAGGCTGAATTTAGGCACCTGGTTCAAAGAGAGCTGCAAGACACCCAGCTGAGGTCTATGCCTGGATGGACGTCTCTCCTGGCATCCCACCAAGCCAGCACATGGAACAGCATGGTGATCCCATCCGTGCATCACTGGGACAGGCTCCACTGGCTACATGGGACAGCACTGACCCCACGGACAGCACTGACCCAAACAGCAGCACTCTCAGGGTCAGGATGCCACTGCTCCCCATGCCCAGGGCAGCAGCCCAGCCCTGTGCACCCCTGCTAACAGTGCTGCTCACGAGCACATCTGTGCACCCACTCACCTCCCACTTGCAGCACAAAGCAACATAAGTGCTGAGGAGGGAGAGCTGCAACCAAGGTAATGCTCTTATCACAGGTCACAGCCTCCCCACCCTCTCAGGTAACCCCTCTATCTCATAACACAATAGGACCAAGGCTCTCACAACCCCTGGCAGATGTCAGTCCTACGGCCACAGCTCACCCCATCCTGTGAGGGAAAAAGGGCTCTGTGCCAGAAATGTCCCTGGTGAAAACACAGGTGCCAAATAAAATCAGCAAGAATATGTAAAATCATCACACAAGGAGGAACAGACTTTTTAAAACAGGTCAAAACTGGATCAGATATTTTTTTACATGGTAAGGGGAAGACTTGCCAAGAATTTCACTCCTGAGCCCAGGAGAGAAATCCAGGAGCCTTACGAGCAAACCACAGGAAAGATTAATGACTTGAAATCTGGGAGGGGAAATTAAAAGTGTCAGAGGAGTCACAAGAGAAAGCCCTGATAAGAGCTGCTAATTGTCAGCATTTACGTCACCACGATCGGAGAGGTTATTTTATTACATTTTAGTCTCTAGGGTCAGAATTTCTCATGAGGTGGTCATTTTTGCTGCTTTGCTGATCTGTGTCCCTTGGTATGTGCCTATAAGCATTGATAAAGGCGACCAAGGAGAGCTAAGAGCAGGTAGGGCTTTAGACACCCTTCTGCCTGAGATTCTTGCTGGAAGGAAATGGCAATAACTACCATAACAATGAAGTAAATATCACTTCCCTTACAGTAAAGGTGCTTACATATCCCAGAAATGCTTTAGAAAAATGAAGCATTATTACCGTAATTGAAAGAGATTACACAGAAAACTAGTAATTCACCCCCCACCCCCCGTGGGTTTAAGAGCACTTGTGAGCTCTGCCCTTCCTGCAGCTGGCAGCTTCCCCGAGGCGCCCGGGCTCCTTCAGGCAGTGGGACCCCACGGCAGGAGATCCCGTGGCAGGAGGCATTTATAAAAATTCACAAGTCTGACCATCCTGGTCTTCTTTGAGGGCAGTAAACTCACGTAAATTCAAGTTCTGGTACGTTCCACTTCCCACAGCCCTTCCTCACCTGGGGCATGCGGGCACTCCAAAATTGTGCAATGGTGGCAGATGCCAGAGCCCCAGGCTAAAAGCAGCCCGCTGGATGCCTCTGCTTTGCCGAGGGATTGCTGGAACGAGGAGCAATCCCTTCGTTCCTATTCTCATGGGGGAAACCTGCAGCCAGCCCCGACAAGAGTCTCTGTGCAGTGCACCCCGCGCAAAGCCGAGCAGAGTTTGGGGCTCGGGGCCGCACACGGGCCCGCGGCTCTGAGCGCCTGCAGGGGACGGGGGGAAGGACCCAGCTCCCGGCAGGGTCGGGCACTGTGGGGACAGGCGGGGACAGGACGGAGAGCACCGAGCACCTGTGGGGACAGACAGGACAGAGGCAGCGAGCACCGGCGTCTCACAGCCAAACGCTAGGAAGAGGAGGGAAAAGCCATGTACAACGCTAAAATTGTTCCGATGCCAAATTTTTGCCATTTCCTAACTAATTTTCTTCAAGGGGGGAGCAAGAAGGACTTCGAACAGAGACGGGTAGAGGCACTAAATACACCTTAACATGGCTACTGTAAACAAAGGCTCTTAACTATACATGGCAAGCAAAGCCTGCGAGCGCACAGCCAGCCTCGGTGAGACGGGTTCCCACAGGCTGGGCTGCCAAACCCGAACCGGGGCTCAGGGGATTCCTACTGCCTGCAGGGTCCCTATGGACAGGCTGAGGAGGGAGGTTCGGTGGGAAGCAAAGACCCCGGTCTGCTACAGCTGAAGGGGCTGAGTGTACCACCACCGATTTCACCGTAAACATGAAAACTCAAACAAACTAAAAAACAGGGAGGAGAAAAGGACAAGCCCACCTCCCGCCCCAGCTTTGCCGGTGCGCCACCTGCCAGCCCGAGCCGACCCCGCCGCCCCCAGCGCCGCCCGCCGCAGCCCGCCCTACCCGGGAGATGGCGAGGGGCTGCTCGAAGTCGCGGCCGCCCACCAGGCGGAAGCCCCAGGGCCCGGGGCCCGAGAGCACGATGCGGTGCGTCCCCATGTGCGCGCTGCACCTCGCGGCTGGCTCCGACAGCCCCGCCGCCCGCACCGGCCCGGCCCGGCCCGGCCCGCCCCCGGCCCGCCCCGCCCGCCGGGCGCGCCCCGCCCCGGGCAGCAGCGCCCGCTCCCCGCCGCCTCCCCGGCTGGAGCCGCTCCCCGGCTCGGGGCAGGCCCGCCCGGGGCAGGGCGGCTGCCGGGGTCGGGAATCCCAGCGCCCCTCAGCCGCTCCCTGCTGGCAGGCAGGACGAGCCCCCGGCAGGCAGCCGCACGCAGGAGTGAGTGCCCCGGTGCGGCATCTCCCAGGCAAATACTCTCCAGCCTGGAGCAATGTTAACTCTGAAACCTAATGGGGGCGATGGAATTAAGCGGCCCTACCTGCAGTTTCCCCGCCAGGATGGGATGAGTGAAGTGGAGCCTGGGAAGGATGTTACCTCTCTGATAATTTATCCCAGGTTCACTGATTTAAACAGCGTTTTCTTTATCTCTAGCCCCTTAAGCACTGTGCCACAAATAAAAGGAATTCTTCTATGCAGGTTTTCAGCCAACCTTCTTATCTGTGATTTAGGAAAAATAGTTGTTTCAGTTGCATATTAAACCCTCAGTAATCTAATGGTGGACAAGTGGGAAAGGTTGGTCACAGAACCGGCATTGGCATTTGCAACTGGAGTGCAAGCATTGCTGCTCGCTTAGTTAACGAAGACAGCTCATCCATAAGCACAACATCAGCGAGCTGTATCTGAAGCTGGGATTCAGCCACAGCTGGGGAGCATGGAGCAGGCAGCAAGTAGGAATGATGCAGGTCACCCAGGTACTGGTCCTACAAGACGTGGCCACAAATGATCCCATCACAAGGCACACCCTGACTTCTGCAATCCCCTTTTGTGGTTGTGCCCTTTTTCCTGCATTAGCTTGTCTTTTCACAAGTTATTTCTTTCCAGAGTCCATGTGTCCAGACTATTAATTTCATCCCTGGCAGAGAGAAGTAGTTCTTCCACTACATCATTGGTGTGGCACTCGTGACAGCGAAGAAAGTGACTGCTTTGCCACAGCAGTGTGCAGGAGCTCCAGAGAGCTGTTGCACACTGCTGGGTCACCTTCCCCTCTCTGCTTGCCCAGCTTCTGAAGTCACTAGCACCTCTAGCTTCCTTACCTTAGATTAGGTTAGAGGGAGTAAATACCAACGTTCAGCAGTCACAGATGAGTTTCTCCCCTCCCTGTCCAGGCTGCTGTAAAGCAAAGGTGAGGAGTGCTTGTCAGCAAAGCCATGGTCAGGCTGCCCTTTGGTTTTATATAAAGAGATCTGTGAAACAAAAAAGGGCTTGTGTCTGTGTGCTTTCTAAACACATGTAGCCTGAGGCTTTTTCTGTCGTAGTAGTTTGGTTTTAGGATCAACTTGTTTACAGTTTGACTTCCTAAAAGCATTGTGAGTGCAGCCATGATGTTTATCTGTCTGCCTGGCCATCCAGTCGCATCATCACAGAGTCTGAATCTGTTGCGCAATTTTGGCTTAGTCTGAGATGGACGTCTCCAAGAAGTTAAAACTCCTTGTGAAATACCAGTCTTTAGGGTGAGCACAGTCCTGCACATGCCTTCCCTCACTCTACTCCTTCAGGAACTGTTCCCTTACACAAGGCACGCCCAGAGAGTCCCAGCTAGGTGTATTGCTGCAGGGAGACAGGGGACAATCACCACAGACCTACAAACCCCGTGAGTTAATGCTGTAGCCATACCTGCCCTGTCAGGGTGCAGCTACCAGACAGCAGAGTCTTAAAGCTTTTGACCCAAGCCAGGGTTAAAAATGCACATGTAAGCCCAACACCAACTGACATCCCTTCCCCCACAGGCTGGCATTTTGAGTTTCTTGCCTGACTTAACCTGGGTGGTCTTTTCATCTGAGGTCACAAAGACCCTTTGTAAACCAGTGGAGAGAGGTGTACTCCTGACCTCCCAGGTCTGTGTGCACGCCACAGCAACTGTACCCTCACACCATGTATGGTGAGATCAGTGTGTAAACCAGCTTCTCCTCTGCCTTTATGCCTTGGTTTCTTTAAGCAAAAGTCAGAGCCAGCCTACAGCTCAGGAAGGACTGATGAGCTCAAGCCAAATCACAAGCAGGATCCTCAGGTGCAGGACAGTGGTGAAGCCCATGGCAGACAGCCACACGTCAGTATGGATACAGTGGGGCACTAAAACAAAAGTGCATTGCTACAGGAACAACCAGAGTAATTTTATTTAATAACTTGTACAAGGAACACAATAGTAATTCAATAATTCCATTTATTAATTGCCAAATAGTAATCCACTGCAATAAGAAACAAAAAATCAACACAAAAAGAAGTTGCAGTTTGTGTGGATGTGTGTGGTGTGTGTGTGTGTGTTCGTGTTTAACTTAAACTGGCAAGAGCAGGAACAGAAAATTAACTTTTAAATGAGTATGTTATATACAATCAATATCAACATGTTACTTTGCTGGATACATTTATTTGGTGTTATCCAATCTTACCAACAGGCCTAAACATTGTTGCAAATAACTGGAGGGCAAACCCAAAGCAGAACAACTAACCCATAAATAAGATGCAGGATTCAAGATATCTCCTGCAGAAAATAAACAGTGGTGCTTTGTATCATATCTGAAACCTTTCATAATGAATATTTTGTGCTAAAACTCTTTATGTGAACATACACAGAATTCCATCACTTAAATTAAAGTGGAAAAAAATCCCAACCTTTCACAACTGCCTTTTTCCCCTCCCTTCACTCAATGTGTTTAAATTATTTCTCTATACAAGGTAAGTACATTGTCTGTACAAAGTTAAATATACATATTTACAGTCAAACTTCTGAGACACAGAGTCTTCTCTTCCGCTGACTGAGACGGAAGACAAGCCTGTTTGATTTCAAACCCAGGAGCATGGCTAGTTTATCAAAACATTGCAAGTCGTGCTAACAGTTAGTTGTAGTTTACTCTTAATAAATCTGTATAAAAGCATCAGCATAAAAATAGGCATTTTATATTATTAAATACGGCTTATGACAAAATAGCAATCTACCTTTTGCTATTTGTACGGCAATTGTAGGAAGCAGAGTCTGATAGAATTGGTTTTGTTTATGCTTTTTCTTAATAACAAAAAGTCTATCAAAAGAGTATTCATAGTGGATTTACAGGCAAACATACAGCCAAGCCATGGGGTTTTTTTTTCCCCTCAAGGAAATACAAATCTATGTAACTGGTAATAACTGCTGGGAACAGCTTTCCAAATTGATTAAACTCTTTTGTATGACTAAGAGGCAGCCAAAATGCATGTATTTATTTGACCTACCATCAACACTGTAACCAAAATGAAAAAAAAGGCACCCTCAGTGATACATTGTTCAGATTAATCAGAGCCTCTAAGATTTAATGCCGGGAAAGAAGTCCCACCATTTCATCCCAAAGCATACGCTGGAAAAGGTGTATGATCCTTTAGGGCCAGCGACAGGGCAAGAGGAGCAGAGAAAGTGAACAGCTGTAGGACTCATAAACAGAATTTGCCCTCGCGGATGTTCTGTTTATTGGTTCTACTCTTTGTGCAGATAAATGTCAAAGCTAGGCTGATTTCTCTTTAATAAACAGGACTCAGTTAATTTTGCACACAATACATTCACACACACACCCCCTGCACAAAAGAAAAACCCTACAGAGATCAGTGATATGTTATTGAAGGGTTTGGGATTTTTTGCACTTTTGCATTATGCTTTGGCTGACCTCTCTGGATTAAACCACCAATCCCAAACTCCTTTTCCACATAGAGCTCTGCAATTCAATTGTATCAGCTGTCCTCCACCTCTGCTGGGTCTTAAGATGCATGACATGAAGGAAAGGTTTTCTATGGAAATGGAAGGCAGAGAAAAGTGAGTCTTCAGCAAGGCAGAAACTGGGCAGCAAGCCTGTTTCCTGAACTCCTGTTCCTGAACTCCTGTGCCAACCAACGTGAGCAGCTGCGGGGCTGAGTACTGCCCCAAAGCACTACCCTATCTCAACACACAAACAAAACCTATACCATGTGCTTCCCTGAAGCCTTCTCAGAGGTAAGTACTCCGTACAAATTAAGATTATCATCAAAACTTTTACTGGGGAAGGGAGAGGAATACACAAAGGCAGCACTGTAAACTAGAAACTGTCTCTTCTTCAGCAAACAAATCACACCCTGACTCCATGGAAGCAGGGCTACACATTCAACTCAATAGTGTACCACATAACCACATCCTCATAACACTTCTCATCTCTTGTCTATTACATTCATAAATTGTCTGTTTCTTCACTGTTTAAAAACACCATCTGGAAAGGAATCCCACCATCCTTGTCATGGTGGGATCACTGTTACTTTACAGGTACAGAAGCTTCACATAGTTGCCTGGGAAGGTGCCAAATTGCCTTGTTCTCCTGGATGTACCTGTTGCAAAATAAAACACAAGGAAGACTTAGTAAGATGGAGACATACCTACACTTAAAAAGGTACAGGTGGCAACCTCTTCTGCCTGCAGGCATTAACTCCTAATACTAAAGAGGAGCCCTAGTTAAAGAGTCTTTTGGTACAAACCAGATCACAACTAGCTCTGCTACTAATCATCTTTGGTCATCCCCTTTAACAGGTGCTGGTGAAAGCTCCTGGGCCTATAGGTTGGAAGTCAAACTCCTCTCAGTGTAAAAGAGCTAATCCCCTTAAGAAGAGATGGCAAGCCTAGATTTGAAATGTTGAGATAGAGAACGCTGTCCAGACTTGCACTCCTTTAAGGTAAAGCATTTTGCTAAACATGCACTTGAGACTGGATTTTCAGGGACTGCAATTCCTATCCATGTGTTCTCTTCACCCCCTACTTGCCACTTTCTGTACCTAGTCATGGCTCCCCTCAGCTTTGGAAATGCTACAGAAATCCAGTTTTTCTTGGTTCCCTCTGTTGTTCTGTCACCTGTGTAAACAAGAAGGATCTGGACGAAGAGAGGAATGGAGATACTAAGAAGATAAAAAAGGAAGTACTAGAGATCTAGCAAGGAAAACAAAGCTCCACCAGCTTGCAGCCTAATTTTAATATTCTTGGTGGGAAAAGATGGAAAATTGTGGAAAAACTGAAGTCAGTTTTTTTCATCATTTTGACCTCACAAATGAAAGCAACTTCTGCAAAACTGCTCATCCCAATAAGCTCTGTTCACAGGCAAGTGTCACACTCACCCACAAACCAGCCATCATCACATTTCTCCATGACATCAACAATGTCACCGTCCCTCAGTTCCAGCTCATCATCATTCTGAGGAGTGTAGCTGTAGAGGGCTTGGTAGCTAACTCTGAAAACCAGAAAGACAGTAGATGTTAGGCATTGAATTTGACATCCCTTCAGGAGGAGATGTTCCTCTTCCCCTAATTCGTATTACATATTGCTGAATGCAGTCTGGACCTGTATTTGCCTTTTGAGAGGTGGAGGCCACCTGCATTGAATTTGCTGTTGTCAAAAGGTCATGGTAGTAAAAAGTGTCATACCTACACTGTGTGGGATATGTGGAGAGCTTCTGCTCCCTTTCTGCCATGTAGTTGTCTGCACAGACAAACAACCAGAGCCTTCCTAACTTGTAGCACCTAGACAGTGTTCGGTTGCAGACATCCCATTAAGTGCAAGCCAAAACCTGGATACACTCATTCTTGGGCTAAAGGAGACAGGTGTTTCCTCACTCAGGCACATAGGCAGAGAGAGCCATAATTGACCACATGGCAGAGCAAAGGACTTTAGAAAAAGATATTGCCTACTCTACTGCACTCTATATACATGGATAAATCATGGCTGAGGAGGTATGGTGGAATAAAAAACCCAGGCTGAATCCTGCCCTGAGATGTCATTTGTACCACAGGCACTGTGCATTCACTAGAAAGGATCCTTATGGAGTGGAAACAATCTTTGGGCAAATTTGGGGAGGCTTGGATCCCCTGCCCATGGAGCATGAAAACAGAGCTGATGTGAGATGCTCCCGCTCTGCAAAAATCAAAGGCTCCTTTCACAAACCAACTGCTGTGACCATCAGTCCCCAGCACACAGCTGCTATTCTCAAAACCATCAGTGTAAGGCCCCACCAAGCTTAGTGGCAGCTCCACTGAACAGCTTTGAAAATCTCACCCCTGGTCTCTCAGCTACAAATGCACCTGTGGAACTGGTCAGCAATGCCCCGAGTGGCATCAGCGTTGGGACTCTCACTGCACTGTGAGAAGCCAAGAACAGTGTGGAACACATTGATCAGGTATAGCCAGTGGATATGAACTTGTCGCCAGCTTCAAGATACAAAGACACCGAGACAGCCTCTGTAATGGAGACCCCATCCAGGATCACTGTTGAGGTGCTATATAGGTCATTGAGGTCATTGTTTCAGGTGCTATACAGACAGAAAGGGCACAGTCTGAAACCCATTATGATATGTGGCTACTTTTGTTCTTTAAAGAAAAGCTAACATTTTCACATGATTCTAATTTACCACTGAGATCTCTCATACCTCCCTATCCTCACCACCAGTCAGAAATATGGGCCCTGGAAAGATGGGAACCAAAAGAACTTACATGTCTCGTGGTGTTTGACTTCGCTCAGGGCTGGTTCCTTGCTGCTGTGCTTGAGGTTGCTGAGAAATGATGAGAGATGATTTATGGTCATTAGAGGTCACCTTGTGGCGAGAGTCAAGAGGCTGAGAAATAGTACTGCAGTAATGAACAGACTTTTCTGCAATGTTTATGATTTCATTGCAAACAGCTTCCTGTGTGGTAGGCAGCATTGACATCCAAGAACACCCAAAGGACAGTCAACAGGGGAAAGGGAGGGGAAAATACAGATAAGAAGAGATGGGACATTCCAGTTGCAGTATATAAGTCCAGTAAAAAAACCAGAAACAAAAGAAGAGTTGTAGATCCAGGTAAATATCCAGGTAGTGGAGTGCAGAAGGGATCCAGATGTAAGCATGGAAAACAGGCAAGATATAGAAGAATTTGGCATTTAGTTTGAAGATTTGTAACAAATACATTTACACATATTTTTAAAAGAAGCAGCATAAGAGGTTGCAATTAGTTATGCAGTGGCACCATTCCAAATGCTATGAAGTCAGTTCAAGAATGCAAGGTGAGGTTGGGCTGCTCCATTCATGCATTTGGCTTCATTTAACTTATACCCAGGGTGTGGCAGCACAATTAGCCCAACTTCTCATTGGCTGTGACAGTTTTTTCTAATTGTTAAATTCCCTTCCTTCTGTTGCAAACAAGCAATATATGCAAAGAGATAAATATGTATCTACTTTGCAACTAAAAATAGTGCTGGCATTTTATATCTTACTGAGGTGTTGCTGTCTGGGTGAAGAGTGTCTAGGACTACACATCTGAGTTAAACAGGGGCCTTACCACATAGCTCTTTTCAGACTCTGTGAGATCTGGTCCAGCTCTCAATGAATGGTGGGAAGGCTGTGTGATCACCAAGCAAATGATAAGGAAGACATTTTAGCAGATGTTATATTGGTCAGAATTAAAAAAAATGTAAATGGAGCGCAGACAACAAAAGGAAATGAACAACTCCTCCCCTCCCCACCCCAACACCATATTTTTTGGACAGCAAGATCCTTAGTTTACACAAGAGACACTGAGGCTACAGTAACACAACAGCAGCACACAATGCTGCAAGGGAAGGCAAAACAGAAGGTAGGGCAGGGAATCAGAGTAGAAGGTGATGGACACTGCTATAGCCAGAAATGGTACAACCATACTGCATTCCTGTAGGGCAAAAAGAACACAGACAGGAACACATACTTGGGAGCATCAAAATTGAAAGGCCAAAAGCATGCTGGAAGGCATCTGTTGCTGTTTTCAGAAAAGTCCTCAATGACAGAGAAGAGAACAGCAACTTGCTTTCTTTTTTTAGAAAGCCAACAGCTCAGGTCCTCAGAAGGCACAATGCCATGTAGCCCCAACAAAATCACTCTATGCTGTTCCAAGCAAGGCTCTGAAATGTTTTATTAATTCCCACAACAAGGCAGAGTGTCAGGTCAGGCCTTGACTGAAAAACCCAGCTCTAAACAACACCACCAGTGAAGCTGCTGGACTCTGCCCTGCCTCACCCCACAGTCACAACTCTACACAGGGACTGTGTGTCCCAGGACACATAAAGGGAAATCAGGGTTTGAGGCTGGAGGTTTTATGGGGAAGATCACTGAAAAAGCCATACAGATATCCACAGCCTGGTTTCGCACATTTTTGCATATTCAAACACCTACCAAAAGCAAGGTGCATGCTGTGAGCAAATGTCATGTCTGAGCTGGTGTACTGCCTGCAGGGCTGCTTGGCAAAGTGGGTTGAGATACAGAGCATGGCCATGCTCTGTGATCACTCATCACAATTTTCAAACTTAATTTCACTGGCCTCAATTTTAAGCTTTCTGTCCTCCTCTTTATCCACCTTAGTAGTGCCCTCCAGTAAAAAGCTTGCTTTTTCATGGCATTCTGAGAGAGGGCAGAAGCAGACAGCAGAGAGGTCTGTGACACCTTCAGCCCAAGCATGCTCGAAAACTTTGGAGAAGTGCAGGGTGATGAGCTCATTCCTCTCAAAGCTCCACTGAACCACATCTTGGACCTCTGGAGCTGTGCCCATCACTGTATTAAAGCAAACCATCTCTTTTCTCAAGGACTGTGACCCACTGTAGGCCAACTCAGCCCCACAACAATTCCTTTGTAGTCAGCTCTACTCTCTGGTGCTGGAATCTGGGATCACTGCCCTATGAAACAATGCTCTGTTACTAAGTATATTTCTAGAGAAAGAAATTTAAATGCAAGTTCAATCTACTAATTGCAGTGGAATTTGCATTCAAAGCATTTACTGTGGAGCCTGAAATCCTCACAGGATTTCTGCAAGTCCCTCCTGCCTATCATGAGCCCTGAAAGGCAAATGAAAAAATAACAAATTCAAAGTTAATATTGTGCAGACCAACTGGATATAGTGCATCAAATCTGATGAGGCCAGAGCTAACTCAGGTGGTTAAGTAGCTGGAAAAAACAATTTTCAGGCTGAGGCAGCTGTAAGAATGTTTTTAGGTGGGTTTTTTTTTTTTAATTCAAGAAAGTGCTTCTCTGTTCCATACCAATAAATTGACTGCTGAAATTGCTCCATGAGCTAAGACCACATGGTCCATTTCCCACTGATTACTTGTGACCTTCCTGCACAGCTTTTCCTCCTAAAAGCATTAGTATTTAAGAATTAAATTAGTTTTTCAAAGCTAAAAAATTGACACTGCCTCTGAATGTTCCACAGTGCAGGTTTGCATTACCAGGAGGAGCAGCATCAGAACCCAGGTCACATTTCCTTTCCTGGCAGGATCCTCATGGGGACTTCCACAAGGCAGCTGGGCAGGGGCAAAAGCCAAGCAGGAACTTCCAGTTCCTGACAAGACACATGATTAAGTGATCTCCTCTGGCCTCTGCTCTGAGATCCATGCAGCTCCCACCAAAGCATTAACTCTCAGGGATGCAGCAGAGTCCTGCAGGGAGTTGGTGAAACACCTCAGAGTCAGCAACTATGCAGTATTAGCTAAACATAAAGAAGAATGGGCCAGATCAGATCCCATAATTTTGGGTTGTGAATGTACCACCACACTAATGTAAACAAGTGACCCTGATAGCATGATCTGTGTGGCTTTTTAATTTTTTTTTTTAATCCACCAACCAAACCCTACAGTGTTCTTTCAGGGAAGGAAGAGATTAAAGGGAAAAAGAGTGTTATAGGTCCAAATGCTCTTCAAACAGGGGTTTAGATAGTCCATGTACTACTACAAAACACTGAGCCAGCCTTGTAACTGCTGAGGGTAAGCTGAAGGCCCTAAAAGTGACCAAGTATTCACAACCTGTGAGGACATCTCAACTTCTACCTGCTCAGCCACACTATCTGCTTTGTTAAGACTAAGTGAATAAACTTAAGCGCATGCTGAGGTCTCTGTCTCCATTTCTACAGACTGTGCACACAAATATGTAGTACAGTTAGTCCTAAAGCACAGCTGGCCAGTGTTTCCCCCTCATATGGAGTTTGGGGATGGATGTAAAGAGTGCCACAAGTTTGTGAAATTACCAGAAAAAGGTTCTACATTAAGAGCCTAGAAAAGCCCTAAGGCAGCTTTTAAATGTTAGGCACAAAGATGCTGGGACTGCCCAGCAGTGCTCTCCCTGCTCCTAGTGAAATTCAGCATCATCAGTGCAACGACCCATTGCAGCTCTTGTCTGTGTGCCTTCCATCCATTCCAGGTGGGAGTTAAAGAACTACATAAGGAAAGACAAAGCTAAACAGAACAGACTAATAGACACACAAGACAGACAGACAAACTGGTATTCCCTCAGAGGAGGGGACACATCAGCACTGATGCTCCCACATGAATGAAGAACCAAGACCAGGGAGGCCTCCCTAGCCCAGGTGAAACAAAAGGAAAAGCCCTGCACACACCAAGCCCGGCTCTGTGAAAGTGAATGGAAAGCTGGCTGAAGAGCTCTCACAAAGGACACTGAAAAGGCTGCAGAGTGGAGCAGAAGGCTGCCATAATCAGTGGAAAGACTCCCTGGACCCTGGATCAGAAGTTGAAGGCTGTGTCTACAGTAGAAAAAGGCATTTCCCTTGGAAAACAGGTAACAAATGCCTGCTGCAGGCTGGGCAGCTCTGCCTTGGACAGCAAGCACTCAGCAGAAATATTGCTGTGCTGAATCTGTGGAGCAACAGAAAGCCACTGCAGGAGATATAAGTTTACCTTGAACACGGTGCAAAGCAAGGAACATGCTAGGAGTAGTTGGTCTGTGCTGGAGAACATGGGGTCTGAACATCCACCTCATATAACATGGGGCTGAACATCCACCTTTGGCTCCCCTCTCTACCAGCCAAAAGCAGGTGAATTGCCACCCTGCTGGAGTGGCTCTGTACAAGTGCCAAGGAGCAGATGGGTCCCACCAACATCCCTCATGTGGCTAATATAGGGACCCTTGTCCAGCCAGTCCTGCCTTCCCCACCCCACAGCCACAGTCCAGCCCCAGGGCCAAAATCACCACACTGCTGACACACTTGCTGCCACCACTGCTGACTCTGACACTGTGTTAACAGCATCTCTGAGTAGAACAGGAATTAGAATGGAAAATTCCTGCAGGTTTCCTGAAATAAATTAATTTGATAGATTATGTTACTCCTTAATAACATACTTTACTAGAATATTGAGACAAGCTATCTGTAAGTTATACTTGAAATACCTTCACATGCTGTGAGGTAATTATTTTTTCTTTTTAGTTTGGACTGGGAAAACAAACAAAAAGGAACTTCAGAACAGTGTAAAGAGCCAATGCAATTTATATTTTTACTTAATGTAACAGGTAAGAACAGAGTCCTTACGCCAGACCTATACCAAAGGGTCTTAAACCTGCAAAAAACCCTGGGTCAGAATTTTGTAATGGGAGAGGTTATCCATAATGAGAAAGAAAACTAAAATTCAAAATCATAAAGTATGTGAAACACCAGGGACAGACACTAATGGAAGGAAAACCCAAATGTAATGTCTCATTTCCATGTCTGCTAAGTGATTTTCTCATTTGATTAAAATCAGTTGAGAGGTACAGATTTTTGAAAAGCCTCCAGGGTATTACCTGAAGTTCTGCTGAAACCATCAGCCTCTGTATGGATCACACAGATAATGAGAAGCCATTTGCACATAGAAATATCACTCCTGCTCCCTAAAGAACTGTGGACCCAGAGCTGAAAATGAGGTCAAGACTACTGCTGATGTCACAAATAGTTTTAACTTGATACTGACAATGCTCTGACTGTCAAGGCATATAAAATATAAATATTGACTTGACTTTGATTACAAAGAAAGGCCATGGGATTTTATTACAGCCAGGTGGAACACCCAAAATAGAACTGTGCTAATCATCACTGGAGAGAAACATCTTTGTCTAAATGTGGCTCTTTGCTCCTGTTCTTTTGGATCACGTATATCCAGTGCAAGCACCAGCATGACCCAGCAGATCAGAGCTCAGGAAAAAGGCCAACACAGGAAACTTCTATGGATTTTTAACATGAAGCAGAGTAAGTATTCTATTGAACTCAGATGTTGAAAGTGAAAGGGAAGCAGGAGGTGGTTGTTCAGTAAAAAGTTGTGCAAGCTTCAAGTGGAAGAAAATGAGCAAAGGTAATAGGAAAATTTCAGGGTTTAAGCTGTCTCTCTCTTAATATAATCAAGAAAGTAACATTGGCAGCTATTTCCCACATTCATCCTGTATGATCAACTTGCCTGGTTCACTGATCAAGCTAAAGACTGCTTCCCCAATACCCACCACTTACAACTCAGTCCAGTGTTCCAGTTTTTGTTAATGGTGAACTTTCTGTTTCAAATATTGCCATCTTGTGGAAGCTGCCTTGAAGGACTGATGAGGCACCAGCAGATGTAAGCATTGCTCATTCCCATACTCTGGGCACCTCAGACACAGTGCTGGGGCTGAGCCGTGCTGCACAGACCCTACTGCATCCCTCTTCAAAAACATTTGTAGCTCTCAGCAATAGAGCTGAGAACATCTGAATCCTACCTGAGAAGACCAGAGCAGGCCCCTGGCATTGTGGATACCAAGATGTGTATGCCTTATCCCCAGCTCTGAGATGCTCAAACCTCGAATCCTGATCTCAGGTGGTTAAACAATACCTGAACCAAATTTTCTTGCGCTACACCATTCCTACTAAGAAGGCCACCAACACTGCCATATAATGCAATCAAGCTGTAGGAACTCAAGGTCAGAACTAAGTAAGCCCTGAGTTAATCTTTTGGAGGAACCAATAAACAGATCCTCAGCTGGTACAAACAAGCAAAAACCTAGGTTTGACCTATGTATTGACCTATGACCTATTGCAGCAGCTGAAGATTTTGCCCAAACCTCCCCTTCTGCACAGCCTGGAAGTAATTTTTCTTTTTTTTTTTAATAAAAAGTCTAACTCTGAGGAATATTATCTCACCTGTGTAATCAATGAGTTGCTAAAATAACCATATGACAAAACAATGGCATGGCATGGAAACGACTGTAAGTAATGGAAGAGTAATCAGCAAAGATGATTACCTGTGGCTTATTGACTCTGCGTGTAAGTCTGGGAGGTGGCTGGGTTGTGACAGTAGAGGAAGAGAGGGTAGAGGAAGAGAGAGGAGCAGATGAAGAGAATACTTTTGAGTCTGCAGTCTTTTGAAGAAAAGAAAAATCGGTCAGCTTGGCACATACTCTCTTATCACAACCACTGCTAGTGATAAGAGCATCTACTATCCAGTAAATTTGAAGCACACACAGCAACAGTAACTCCATGCAAGGACAAGTGCAGTTTCCAGTTGGTTTGTCTCAGCTGACCACCTTACTCTGTTTTAAACATGCAGGTTAAGTCTAAAAAATGCTGCTAAAATATATCTGGATGGTAAACAGTACAGTATTAACACAGGTCTCAGTAGACTTCTGGTTATGATTCAAGCAGAAATCAAATTATTCATCATAAGTTTGCCCAGTGTGAAACATGTCATCTTGGAAACCCTGGTTTCTCATTATTTAATGTTGGCTAGATGGGGTATGTCATGGAGGCTATTACAGTGCATCCACGACAGTATTTAGAATTCTATGATTTCAAACTCTCCAAACTTACACTCCTTGGGGTACTGTAATGTAATTGGGCTGGCTATACCCCACAATGTGCCCCAAGGCAACAGAGAGCTACAAAGTAAAGTATATATCCTATACAAAGACTGAGGGCTGAAGATATGTTGTGGAAGCTACTGGAGAGTTCCCTCTGTGTTTCCTCTAATTGTAACATATGGCTGCATATAACTAAAAACTCTTGGGGGAAACCATCAGTAGGTCTAATTCTCTTTTGTGGCTAAAGCCTTTCATATCATTTTTAAAATGCAAAGGTAATAACTTCTCCTCAATACATACATGACAATCAAAACTCCCTTAGTCATGCATATCCCAGATTAAGGTTCACTTAGGCTCCAGGATCAACAGGGGACACCTTTTGTGATTCTAGGAGCCAGGTTTATGTTTAAAATGCTTTTTGGTCCTTAGGAAAAACCAACAAATTCTATAATCAAAAATGATTCAGTACACACTGTAAAATCTCTGATTAGCAAGAAAATGTCTGTATTCTGCACAGTGGGCCTGTGTGTTGCTTTCATCTGATGCGTCTGGTAATAGCCACTGTCCGGGACAATCCCCTCATTAGATGTGACCGATTGTGTCAGTGTCGTGTTATCTATTCTAGAATAATTTTTTCTACATTGCTCTTGATCTCTCTTCCAAAATGTTTTGATCTGCTATAAGTGAATGCCACTGGTGACCCCTGAAAAAATGTCTTAAGATCATCAAAATGACATATGGCAGCCACTGGCTCTGCTTTGCCAGCAGAGCAGCACAAACGTCAACCCACCAGTTAAACAAAAATCAGCGATTCAGAGCAGCACACACACATGCAGAAGTACCTTCTTTTCCCCGCTTGGAAACTTTCCTGTATCACCTTTCCTCACGTCTCTTTTCTCTGTTTTACCTCCCTGAACAATAGCCATTAGCTCCTGACACAACTGGTTGTCCTCAGAGGAACCCACAGGTCTCCTTTCTGGGCTCGCACGCATGTCTAGCTGGGACGGTTTCAGGCAGCGCTCAACAGAGATCTTGGGGACAGCATGAGCACTCTGCTCAGCGTGGCTGCTGCCCTCTCCTGCCTTTGGGAGCCAGGCTGGGCTGGCAGTGGTGTCACGCTGCTCTGCGAGGATGCTCTCGGGGCTCTCCACTGCCCAGCGAGAGGAGTTAGAGTAAGTCACGCTGGGAGAAGGGGAGTCAACAAACTTCTCTTCGTTTTGTGGAGTGGCCTGGTAGAAACTGCAGGCAGAGGACTGAGGTCTAGATGAGGAAGAGAGCAATGGGGACCTAACGGACCTGGGAGTCGAGGAGCCAGAGAGATGAGAATGGTGGAGGCTGACTGTGGGGGAAGGGCTGGCTGCAGCAGAAGGCGAGAGATAGTCAGGGTGAGAGAGGGAGGCTTCGGGCAGAGGAGGCAATGGAGGAGTTATGGCAGGAGTGGTGCTGGGAGACACTCCCACGGTCAGAGCAATCCACTCGGATGTGACCGCCTGCACCTCTGGAGACAAAGCGCGGCGCGCAAAAGGCAAAGGCGGAGGAGTTGGAGTATGGAGCAGCTCAGAGCTGGGAGACTTGAAGGAGACAAAAGCAGGAGAGAAAAAGAAAGAAATGAACAAAAAATAATAAAGAAAATACAAAACCAAGCAAAAGTAAGGGGAGAGAGAGCAAGTGTGGAGAGAAGCCGATCTGTGACCACAGGCATAAGTTTTCTTCTGCTGTGTTGGAGACAATGCTGTCCACAGCTACTCCAACCACAGAGTCCAGCCTGTATCTGTGCTGCGAATACCCTTCTCCAGCCTTTGCCAGTATCCCAGACACAAAAAACCTTGTGACCTCTGACTTCATACCATAAGCTCTAAGTCCTTCAGGGAGCAGGTGAAGCCACCATCATGATGGCAGAATGCAGCACTGGACTGGCCGGCAGCAATAGCTGGGGTCCCAGCAACTCACACTGTGGATCCAGTCAGAGTTCCCTGCTGCAATGAATTTTGACTTTATCCAACTTCAGCATGAGCAATGCCTGCTCCTCAGGAAGCATGCATTGCAGAAGCTGCATAGGAGAAAGGGATCAAAAAAGCCAGCTGGGGCTATTAGCTCTTCAGGTGATTAAAACAGCTCCTGGGTTTAAAGGACAGAACACACTACAAGTCCTGTCTGTAGCTTTTACCATCAGTAGCATCGGTGAGAACAGCTACATTAGCACTTGTCAGACTGTTTCTCAGTCCTCAGCCAAGTCAGACAAAAAACTAGGGAGAGCACTGACTTTATAGGAGAGGAATCAAAAGAACAGGAAAGAAAACTAAAAAAAGGTGGATATGATCCCTTCCATCCAAGGAAGAAGCCTGCAGGGAGCTTGTGGAAGATAGGGAATAGCTATGGAGAGGCTGCCAAGCTCACAGAAAAGCTCAGCTGACGTCTTGACTGAGAATCCCAAACAAGCAACAAGTTTTTCCTCTTTACACAGTGGCTAAGACTGAAAACACTCCTTTTAGGAAAGATCCAGACAGACAACAGGCATGAGCCATGGTATCTTTTTTCCTATCCTTTCTGTACCATATATCCCTTCCTCACAATCCCAGCTCTCCCCTTATGTTTTTTGCAGTCTTGACCTTGTTTTGGTCCCATTAGTGAGAGGGAAATGCACCAGAACATCATGGCCATGACCCAGACATGTATGCTGACCTTCCACTGGCATGAGTATTTGCACGATGGGAGCAAAACAAAGGGATTTAGAGACTCACTATTGCCCTGATAAGTTTACCATGGCAAACATTCTGAGGTGCCCATATAACCACCTGCTGCCATTTTGATTTTTTCTTTGAACTGCAGTATGGCTTGTAGTGAATCTAATATTCATGGAAGATCCCAGACTGACCTGCTCTCAAAACCTGAGTTCATGTAGCAGCACTTTCAAATAATGCAAGCTGTTCTCCTGACCCTGTCCCCAAAAACCTTGGTCATGAGTTAGATCATACAGGAGCAGGTATACAGCTTAATTCAAGCTGATTGGGATCAATATAATGACTATTACAGACTACAGCACTTCTTAAAACCTTACAGACTATGACACTTTTAATAGTCATAATATAAAATTCCCCTCATCACAGTAAAGGTGTGTGAAGTGTAAACACATACTCAGGAGAAGCTGGATCACTCTGGATCACTAATTCATTCCATCTCCGACAGTGAAATTTAATCACGTGGCTGTGAACTGCAGTCCTTTCAACCTGGCCTGGATTCAAGCTCCATATCAGAGATACAAAGCTGAGTCTCCAAATCCCCAAATGATCCGTTCATTAACCTTTCTGGTAAATGAAACATCACCTCTTCCTGCAGTTGAAGCCTACTGCAGGGAGCACGTAGCTTTATGGCACAAAATTCTAGTCTTAAATGCAGCTTTCTTTCAGCTACTGCTTCTTGCACAAGAATGGCACTATCCCACAGTTCTGCGAGGTGTTGCACCTGGCTGCATCTAGTGCTAGTACCTGTGGTGAGGCTGTGATGCTGCGGCTGGGGGAGAGGGACACGGGTGGGTCAGGATAGTCAATGGCGTTCTTGACCACTGGCCGCTTGAGCACCTCCACGTACGTGACGGGGAAGATGCCCTGGCGACTGGTGCCAGGGATTCTTCCTTCATACCAGTTCTCATCCACTTGTCGAATCAACGTGATCCTTTCACCCTGTGGGAAGGAACAGCAATGTAGTTCTGATTTTAACATGTTTAATCATTCCAAAGCAGATTACATTTTAAATCTTGGTGCAGCTGACCTAAAATAATTGGTGGTTCTCAGCCTATTTCCAATTATCCTAATCCTAAACTCTGGGTGGGAATGATATTTTTCAGTTCAGAGAAAGAAAAAATTGCAGATCTTCTTGTACTGACTTGGTCTGTTTGCAGACTCAGTTATGGTCACATTTTCAAGACCCTACCTGCTAAAGTCAGCTAAAAATGGAAACCAACAGTTTCAGGCTGACCATGAGACTCTCAGGCATATGAGGTGTACAGAAAGTATGCACAGGTCTGCAGTTTAAACTATGTCTCTCTATGATCTCTCCAAGTTTTGCTGACAAAGTAACTTCCAGATCGTTAATATACACTGCAAGCCTCACCTTCATATATAATTAAAAGAGAAGACAGAGAAGATCTAATCTGAGCATCAAAACAGAAAGCTGGTCAAGATGAAGAATTTCTGCTACTTAATCTAAATACGGATGACTTTCTTCTGAACAGGCATTACACAGCTCCTTTCCCACACCTTCACTCTGCAGTTAGTCTAGCCAGTCACCTCAATCCCACAGAACCTGGCCTGCTTAATGATTTGGCCTGTAGCATGGGGACGGTGAACCCAGCTTCCTTCTTTTGTAAATCACTGTAACTGGGTGACTGTAGTCACTGTGTAACTGTGTGGGCCTCCACTGAATCCAACCAACCTGGAAAGACCTGTCACCAAGTATCTAATTTGCCTTGCAGAGCCAGCTTTCCAGCACTCTTGCTGAAAGTATCTTCTCAGCTGGACCTAAGGAAACAATTGGCACTTCTTGATTTAGCCTACCTGCAACAAAAACCGCAATGTGCTACATGAGGACTGTGGATTAAAAACATGGGTGATGAGGAGGAATCCTTCCTGAATACAGAGTCCATTTTATTGGAAATTGCAAATTTCATTTGGAAATTGCAAGTTACTAGTGCTAAAAAACACCATCATGTCTGGATTCAATTAATCAACACAACAGAAGCCCTACCTTTCTGAAGGACATTTCCACTTGGGTATCCCCATTGAAGTTGAACTTAGCAATAGCATCTCCATATTCCAATACTTGCAATGGTAATGGCTTTTTGGGTTGAGCCTTCTCAGCTGGTGGAAGGAACTAGAATGAACAAACAGAATCAGCTAAGTCTCATACACAAAGCCCATAAACTGGTCTCAGGCAGAAAGGGAGCGGACAAAGAACACCTGCAAGGAAAGCAGCTACCTCTATGTATGATCGTGGGAAGATGCCAACTCTGCCATGGTGTTCACCTTCGAGCCAGTTCTGGTCAATCTGCTTGTAAATGTAAACAATATCTCCTTTTTGCAGAGGAAGTTCCCTGTTAACAACACAAGCACTCCATCAGAACTTCACTGGAGGAGAACAGATGTGTTCTTTTTCTGTGCAGCAAACCCTAGGTACCAAGGTGTCCACCAGCATGTTGATACACATCATGCTCCACCCAAAGGACAAGCTAACTGTTGAGGATTACTTTGTTCATATTGTGATGTGCAAGACCTCTCTTGTTCTTTGGGCATTCTATTAAAAAAGTTGGCCTGTGAGGGCCCTAATAACCACATGCTCTCCAGAAGCAATGGGGTAAAGCTCAAGTCAAATATGACACTGGCTACTTTCCATGTTGGATATGATGAGCAGCCCTCATTTCAAGTTTTGAAACAGTCATGTCACAAACACCTTCCAAAGAAATATATGATTTTAATCTGAGCCAGTTTGCTGATTAGATTAACATGCTCACATGGTGAAGTTCATCCTGCAATGATTACACTGATGGTCAGCCTATGGTTGAGCAGTCAGTGACCTCAACTGGGCTAAAAATTGGAATTTCAATCCACAGGCTTCAGTGCTAAAATTATGAATGTCTGCAGCTTGAGGAACTGTGGCCAGCTTGTATTAGGCTCATAAACTTACTACTTGGGTCCCCAGAGGAAAATAAGCAACACAGCCTTTTCCAAGACGATTTTTACAAGCTCTGCTTTACTTTTTTCTGGCACTCTGGTATGTTCTACTCAAGGGACACAATGGCTACTCCTAGTCTTCCTCAGTTTTATTACAGGTGCTGGAGAGATGCTATTTAAATTATTACAAATGATCATCTATAGAACACATAAAAAGTATTCTCAGAACATTAGCTCATTCATGCAGGTCCTTCACTGAATTCTGCTCTTCTTTCTTCCCCCTCTAGCAATATTAAAATGAGAGCTTCCCCAGGCTCATGCTGACACAGAGGCTTTTCCAGGCCTTCTCTTCACAGCAGTCTTCTCTAAAAAGAACAAGTAGTGCCATAGGATTCACCTAAAGGACTACAACAGGGCTTGGAGGTACAACAATGACATCTGAAACATCTGCTGATGTATTCATAGATGCCAGCAGAGCAGTAACCACTCTGCACACTTCTTTGTCCTGGATCAGGAAAATGCTGAGCCAGGGGCCCACATGCTTAGACCTGGGCGTCTGTTTAACTTCTGCCCATGGGCTATCATGTGCACAGTGAAAAGGATGTTCTTCTCCTGTGGCTCCACCTATCCACAGGGCAGAGCACTCACTTGTTGCAGTAAAGAATGCAGGTTTGTCCTAAAAATCATGGGGGATAGAGATGCACTGAGAAAGAAGACATTTTTCTCAAGGTCCTTTAGATGCTATGGTCTGCAAGGTTCATATTACTTTTCCCTGCCTTACTATGGACAACTTTGCTTTGGGAACTGGAAAGACACCCTAAAACATGAATCCAATTACATGGCACTTCAAAAATGCTGCATGCTGCATCCTAGGGAAAAAGCAGAGGAAGAACACTCCAGGTAGGAGCAACAAGCTATACTCACTTTAGTGTCTGTGCTTTAAAGTCAAACTTGGCTCTAGCAGGTCTCATCTGGAGATCAAAAAAAAAATCAATATATTAAAATAGTAATTAGGCTTTCAACCCTCTTCTGAGGAAAATCACCCAAACTCTTCTACAGCTAAGATTAGCATGGAAATTGAATGCAGGTATTCTGCTACAAGCTTGCGTGCAACTGGTATTACAGTCCAAATATGCTGGATGGCATCTCCCATCAGGACACAAAGTGCCAACTTCTGGCATAGCAATAATTAGGAGCTCTACAGTAAATAGAAGTAAGAGCAGTCAACTTTTAATGTGACTAGCCCTGATGAATGAAAGCTGATCCAGTAACTACAGTTACTGGGGCTCCAGGACCAAATTTCTCTTGACTTTTTAATGGAAAAGCAAAATTAACTAGCAGGGAATAACAGTAAGATATTATTTGATGTGGCTCTTATTAATTATTATCTGGCCCTGCTGAATACTGCAATGTGACCCATGTACTCTGTATCAATAGGTAGGAAAGAGACAAAGGTGAAAGGGAAATATGAATAAATTAGGCACACATTTAAAAAAAGTCTTCAGTGGCTAAAGAACCAAAATGAATGTTGACATCAGGCCTGGGGTCTAAAAGGTTTACTTGGCTAATTTTGTAAAGGCCACAGAATATTCAGTCAATTTTACAGTAATTTTGGTAACAGAGCATAAAATACAAAGCAGTCAAATTGATGAGGCTCCAGAGCATTTGAAACTAAAGGCAGACAGGTGTACTCCATCCATATGGTAAGCACCTCACCCACCACAGTGCAGCACCTCTGGGGAAACAGAGCTGCTGTCAAGAGCCCAGCAGCAATCCATGTGAAGCAGGAAAGGCATTTGGCCATAACATCTGGACAAAACGTCCAGCCCTCCAGGAAAGTGCCTTGGGGTCTTGGAAAAAATATGTACCTCCTCCTTTGTCTCTTTCAGCAAGTCCAACCAAGTTGAACACAGTGAAACATGCTGAGACTTTTTTTTTTAATGTTTCTAAATGACATTAAGCATATTTCAAGAGGAGAAACAATGTCTTTCTAAAAAAACCCCACAACTATGTGACAGCCACATGGCCAGATCAACAAGACATGAAGTTTCTAAGCATAAGGCACAGACAAGAAGACAATGTAGCAACATGACGAAAAAGATGTAGAATGCCTTTGATTGACTGAGTAGCTGATATTTAAAGGCATGCATTACAGGTGTGTACCAGCAATTCTCAGCAGGCATGCTTTAACATATGCAGCTTGGTATAAGATATCAATTAATTTACCAGGCATAAAAGTCAAAGCAGATCTAAATGAAGCCAGAATGGGAAAGGGAAAGGTGGAAAAAAAAACAACAAACGACATTCTCTGAAGAGCTAATGTCGGCCTAAAGCACAACATTGTGAGAGGCAATTATTGCTTTGGGTCAAGCAGCAGACTGAGGTAACTAAAACAGACCTCTGACCCAGATTTCCTCTTTGCAGTATCGTCTACATTTAGGAGGTCCCCAAATCGTTCATTAGTGATAAACTGATGGTGCGTTGGAATAACCCCTGTGTGCCTTCTAGCGGCAATATCAGCTTCTTCTTGCTCACGTTTAAGCCGTCTCTGGTCCTCTAAAAGTTTCTGCCATAAAATTGCATAAAATGGGCAGTAAATAATCTAGTTAAAGATTCCTGAGTTCCCTGCAAATAGCTGGGGCTTTGCAGTTCAGTATCAAATATTGTTTCTACTAACTAAACAATACCCTTTCATTTTACAAACACAGAAGGTACATCATCATTATGGCATAACTGAAATCTAGCTCATACAGAGGATCTGATCCAAAGCTGATGGAAGTTAATGAAGAGTTTTTCCAAGTTTTGAGCAGGTCTTAGGAGCTTCTAAGAAGACTGCTGATAATGCAGAGACCTGATCCAAACCCCCTTCCACCAAAAAGAAGCATCTCTCATTGACTTCCAAGAGACCTGAATCAGCCCCATTGAGTTCTGAGGCACCAAATTCTTCTAAGCCTTGCAAAGAGCTTGGGAGAGTGTCTAACCACATTCAGGCTCTCCCATAGTTCTTTTGGGCTCATGTAACACACTTTGTAAAATAAAGTAAATAAACGCCTAAAAATTATTTTGGATTTCTAAAGTCTCTGGCACATTAAATAGAAACATGCATTCTTGTGCATCTGCACAGAAGGATTCTTCCACCTTCTGGGGCTGACTGTAGGCTGAAGAGTTCAGCTGTGTGCTAACTCATTTGAAACCAGAAGGTCTTAGTGAATTCTGTAAGGTTTTTTACCTTACACGAGTTTGCATACTGCATTTTGAAAGTGGGGGAATTACCAACTTTCACAAGAGAAGACAGAAAAAAACCATTTTTCACACAGGAATTAAGAACAGATTTTACCATATTTCAAAGCACATATAAACATTATCTGAACTCAGAAAGCAAACACTAAAAGCAAAAGTTACTCCCCAGCCCCCACCAGCAAGGGAAATTAGTTCCATCTTCCAGGAAAGCAAGCACTTTATAACTTCTTTAGCTCAGCTTGAATACACCCAGTGCTGGAAAGTCTACGTGGCTTTCCTATTATTTCAGCTTGTCCACTGTTACCCAGCCATTTCAAAAAAGACTGCTACATTCTGTTGACAACAACTTCAGACACCATAAAGAATTCTAGTTTGCACTGGGGGAAAACTTACGAATTTCTGATAGCTTAAACCATCTTACCCTCAAAACTTGAGGACCACCACAGGAATAATAGTGTTTTCACCAATTTGATTAATACTGACTCAAGCGGCTTGCATGAAGAACACTTACAGACTACCAATCTTTTTCTGCAAGTACTAGGGTACTTCTCACATACATTTCCAAGCTTTTTATATTACTTAAAGCCTCTGTATGTAACTTTGTGCAATTGATAATAACTATCAGGTTTATTTGAAACAAGCTGAACTGGACTGGACACATTACCCAGCAAATCAGTGGCAGAGAGTATTGAAAGTAAAACACACTAGCTACTGCTTGTTACTCTAACTTCCAGGACACAGAGCCATGGATACACAAGCTATCTTTATGTAAGGCTGAATGCTGTATTTCTTGCATGTGGAGCTGCCACTACTGTTATAAAGCCATAAAGGAGGGCATTACCTCTTTATCATCATACCGCCTGCGGAGGATTTCTTCTGGAGTTTCCATGTATTCAACTGGTGCAAAATGCCTTGGTGATTCTGAATCTACTTCAAAACAACATAAGGAAGTTAAAATACACATGGATTTATCTAGCATAACCAGAAAGGAAAAAAAGAAATATTTTTAAACAATTTGTTTCCATTATGACAGTAAGGATTCTCAATTGCCATTGACCAAATTGCCAATCAGATGTTGATTATTTATCCATTTTCATTTTTTTCCCTTTTGGGCTGTACATGTGAACAAAGACCCAAGAACAGGGAGAAAATAATGATACAGGAAAGAGTAAAGACATAGAAGGACTTTGTGAAGAAAATATTCACTGTCATCAAAGTATGATTTGGCACTTAACTGTTGATAAAAGTTTAATACACACACACACGCACACACACAACTAGACCTTGAGAAACTACTCCTTAAAGCAAATCATCTGGGTTTGGTTTATAATTCCCATGTGTGTAAATGATACAGGACTAGAAATTATCTCATGTTGAGATTCTTGCATCCCCAGAGCTGTTTGAGAGATAAACTGAACCTGATGCGATTAGAAATGCAGCGGAAATTGTTTCTCAGAAGTGCAGCTGTTAACAAGCCCTGAACAAAACTGCTCAGCAAGACACGCAAAAGGACATTAGACACACCAGGGGAGAAAATCAGAGAGTCACGGAATGTAAAGGTGGGACATAAAAATGCAAGGGTTGTGGAAGAAAAGAGGAGAATGGAAGAAAGAAGACAGATAAAGGAACACCGGTAAAGAACACAAAAACCACCTCCTAGGTACGTCCCAAGTTCACTTTGCGGGTTGTTGTTTGTGTCCAGGCTGTGGTAGAGGGCATATGAAACAGGGTTCCCATTGTTTAAGGAGTCAGGAATGTCAGCCTGGCCCATGAAGCTATCCCGGCTAGATCCCATGGTGGGGAAGTAGCCAAGCCTCTCCACAATGTCAAAGGAGGACAGGCGCTGGGGAGCAAGAGGCCCGCTTCTGGAGCAAGGTTGGTGCTGGGAGTGGTGACTCTTGTTTCCTACACTCCCCTGCAGCTGTATGGGGTCGTCTGGGTTCTCAGGGCTGGGCACTGCCAGGCTTGCCAGGCAGTCTGGGGGCGGAGTTCTGCAGGATTTGTGTTGGAGGGGCTTTTTCAATCGGAATGGGAGCGGGCTCATTAGGTAGACATTTCTGGGGAGCATGTGCCTGTCCCCATAGACATCCCCTTTGGAATCAGGGTGCCTGGAGGCCTGCTTCTGTTCATGCCTTCGGATGGTAGTGAATCTGGTGTAGGAAGCCGGGCATGAGCCTTTGCATCTGTTGATTTTATGCTTCTGAGGCCCATTCAGGTTGCTGGAGCTGCTGCCACTGTCATTGGAGGCATTTGAGAGAAGATCTATCTCATCAGTGCAAGCTGAAAGTGTGTCCATGGGGATGACATCACTGACATCCGAAGCCGTGTCTTCCACATTGCTGCAGGAGTGCGAGGATTTATCTGCAAAGCTGGGAACATCCTTTTCTACTTGGTGTGCTTTTGACAAATCCAGAAGAATCTCTGCAGAGTATGCAGCACTCAGACAAGTTTTAGACTGAAGAGAAGTGGTGGGTTTGTTTTGCCCAATGGAAAAGTCAAGTGAGGGCATCGATCGGGATCTCTGGATCAGCTGCTCAAAGGCACTGATACGGGACGAAACGGTGTCTTTGGGGATCTGCTCTGAATCCTCTCGACTAAGGCTGTGCTCCATCCTGTCCTTCACTTCATTCTCAAACTGAGACGCAATATCCTTCACGCTGCAGGAGGAAACTGTGTCCAAATGGATCCTGGACCGGTTGATCTGGTGCATGTCTTTATAGAGTGTTGTAAACTCCACCCCACTCTTTCTGGAGGCAGCGAACAGGTAGCCTTTCCTAGAGTTGGTGCCATACTCCTGCAGGCTCATGGTACTGCCAGATTTAATGGCATACTCTTGCTTCGACTTCATCAAGATGTTTTCTATGCTTTCCCCCATGTCTACCATGAAAGCCTTTTTATTATCAAACAAGGCAGTGGAGCTACGAAGGTTTTCGCAGCTTTGAGCTTTCTCATGAGACAGCAAGATACCCGTCTTGTCCTGCACAAGAACAGCTGGAGCTGCTAGTTTGGGTTTGAATTTAGAAGGGAGGATTTCAGTAATGCAGGCTTTGGCAGCTGATAAAGGCTTCTTATGTTTACATGCGTGACCTAACATACCGGTATGACTAGCATTAAAGGTTCGGCTATTAACTGAAGAGGGTGCAGTCATATGAGCATTCCCACCTTTACGATCCACTGGTAAGCATGCAGAATAAAATAAATACAACCTGTTAGCTTAAGTGCTAGAAAGCTATTGAGAAAGGAGAAAGAACATGCTTGGATTTCATAAAATGCACCTTAAAGAAACAAAATTCCAAAACATAAAGAAAAGCAGGAAGAAACTGCAAAACAAGCCACGCTTAGAGGAGTAGGTGAAGTGCTGTTAAGGTTTCTAAAATGAGAGGCTTTGCCAGAAGCAAATCTGGAGCACTTTTAAGGTACCCGCCTAAAAAGTGCAAAGCATCATAAGCTTCCAGGGAAGCTGGGGCACCATGGAAAAGGGCAGCTGAACTCTGGGCAGGATCAGGGTGTCAGCAAGAATGCAGAGACACTAACACTGCAAAAATGGCTTAATACCAAGCCTGTAATCACACCTACTATGGTCTTACCACAGTGCTTGCCAAACAGTTTATTCCTGGGAGGAAGAAAACAACCAGAGGCTGACTGTGCTAGCACAAGCACACCACATCAGCTGACCTCACCCAAGAGATGCCTACTTAGACATTCCCCATACTAGGAATAAGCTGAGTGTCCTTCAGACAATGTGGTTGGCCATGGTTGCTTTAAAATTGAAGGGGTCAGATCAGGACATTGGGTTTTTTTTTTTGGTTTTGGGGGTATTTTTTAATAGGATTCAGTCTGGTTTCAGCTTAGACTGCAGTTTTTAGGTCTGTTTCCGATTTGAGTTCAAATTCAAATGTCAAAATAACCATTCAGGTTCAATTGCAGTTTGGGAAACTGTTTGAACAGATTTTTTTGTTCAGATCCAGTTTGACTCCCTGCCCTACAGGCCTGACAAAATGCTGAAAAACAGCTGGGAGATGGAGACAGAGAGACCTTTTTGGTATGATGTACTATTTTTAGGGAGAGCAGTTCAGAAACCGAGCACATTCCTTCTCCAGTCCTCTCCCCATCTCAAGCCATTTTTAGGTTGAAGTTGGCTCAGAGATACATTCCCCAGTACAATTCCCTGATGGGAGTCATGCTCTTCCTAGTCTCTTTTAGAGAGTCTGCAACAGTGGGAGAGAAGAGGAGGAGATTGGTCTCTTCTGGCTCACATTCCTGGAGCCTGCAGGGCTGGTTCAGGCAGCAATTGCTGGTTCAGTGTCAGTGCATTCTCTGCACAGCCCTGGAGGCAGGAGGCTGTGCAGCACAGGGCACCAGCTACACCAGGGTAGCCAGGCCAGCAGACTGGGGTGGCCTGCTGAGATACTGCTGTGGGAAGAACAGAAAAGCCAGGGAAGGGCTCTAGAATGGCAAGGCAGTGGGAGCAGATGGATAGCAAGGCCAGCCTAAGCAGCCTTGAGGAAAAACATGAGGGTGTGGGCTGTGGCTGAGGTGCTGAATGGAGGGAGCTGATCTCTCTTGAGAAGAGGAACCTGGATCAGTTAAAGGCATCATTAAAAATATTGGCCATTGTGGTCTGAGAGAAAAAAGGAGGGAACACTGGGGATGGCAAAGTGGAAGGATAGCATAAATCTCAACTGGTTTGAATAGTACTGTAAACCTTGCAACAGCTTGCCCATATCACCTGGCTTTTGACACTCTGCAGAATGGAGAAGATGTTAGTGTTCCAACCACCCACCTTTTGTGGAAGCAGAACTCGAAGGGCGCTTGAGACCACTCAGCCCCTGGAATGGGATATCTCCACCTTCCAGCACACTCTTGTAAATCTGCCTTTCATTCTCCAAGGCAGCAGGGTCCCCCACAGCTAGCTCTGACTCCCTCTTCACTGCATGGTAGTTGGGTGAATAAGTGGAGCTGGAAGACACAACGAAAAGTAAAGGGACACCAGGAGGTCACACCTGTTTGCTGAGAGCTTCATGTAAATTAAGAGATAACCTCACTTGTGAACACAGAATAGACTGTGCATGAAGAATTGGTGCTGAGGAAGAGGTTATGAATACATTGCAATAGTGTTCTGCCTTTGGCACTACCAAAGCATCCTCCACTTGAGGGAACTCTCCAGTCTTAGTCCCCCAGAAAACAGGGAGCAGGAAAGCACCCCTCTGTTTTACAGATGAGACAACAGTCACAGAACTGATGCATGATTTCTTTGTAGACACAATGAAATTCACTGGCTAGCTGGAAGTACACAAAACCTTCCAGCTTCCAGTTCTCTCTCCTTAAACACTAGCCATGCCTGTCCCATGCTTACAAAGCTGCTCAGGTGGTCATCTCACCCAGTTCAGCCTCCCAGTCAACACTACAGCTCAAGATTCCCTGACCAGTTTCTGAAGCCTGTCAGTGAGGGACTATGCAGAGAAGCAATAGTAAAGGGATATAGATTTAATACTGTTTTAATTGCCAGAGGAATTTCCACATGCACACAATCCTGTTCAGCTTTGCCAGAGGCTTCCTCTACAGGGAATAAAAAATCCTGGACTTTAGGTCTACCATGCATATATATAAACAGAATGATGTTAAAATCAGTACAATTTAAATTTCTTAGGTTTTTAAAGACTGGAAATTTATTGCACATCCCTTTTTCTAGTCATGAACCTAAGCACAAGTATGCTCACACATCTGATTTCTAGATTTCCCTGGTTTCTCTCCAAAAGGATAACTGACAATGCCATGGTATAAATTGCCTTTCCAGGTGCAAAAAACTTACTAAGCCATCAGGCAGACTGTTTTCCTAAAAGCTAAGCTAAACTGATACCAGTTCTTGTGCTCAATCAGGCTCTTCAGAATAAGATGGAGTCTCACACGAAGCTATTCTGAGGCCAAAGCATGACTGCTGGAAAATTTGAAAAAATAAAAATATACAGATTTTCCAATGAATAGAAATATTTGACATCCTGATGTCCAAGAGTGATTCAAATTTATGAGAACTTGGAAATGTTTGTGGTTATATCTGTTTGTTGTGGATAAATTTGTACATGTATCTGTTTAGTTTGGATAGATGCTGTACTTCTGGGGTAAAGAGAAAGCTTTAAACACATCAGAGGACTGGCTATGGAGGTGGAATTACACAATGTCTGGATCACAAAGATGACTTTAGTTTCCGGACAAGGAAAACCAGGTCATATGCAGTCTCATTAACTATTTTCTGGAGGAAAAGCTCATGAAAAGCACCATGAAAAAGAAAGGGAATACTGTCAGTTTTTCAACCTAGATAATGCCCAAACAGACCCATAGCTACAAAGCTATTGTTTGTCAGGGATATCTCTTTGATCAAGAGTGCATCTCTTTGGCAGGTAGCTGAGGAAACCCAGCCAGTTGCTGCAGGGACTGATTACCCGGAGGTTAGTTGTTAGCTTAGTGGCTAAAAAACAAAGGGTTAAAACAATTGTTCTTTAGGACTAAACCTGGGGGAGATAGAGGAAGCATTTGGTGAATCTCTTTACTAGCTGCTCCCTTATTCAAGCCAGCAAGCAGTACTGTATTGGAGGCCAAGCAGCCTGCAAGGGCAGGGAAAAACGTGCAACTCCACTGGGCCTCACTCCTGTGCCCCATTACCTGTGCAGCATACTCAGCTTGCTTCCTCTCCACTGGCATTCCTGAATGCTTTGTGTGGCACAGATACTGCTGCCATGAACAGAAACCCTACCAGTTGCTTGCAAACATATATTTTTGCTAATATCTGAGATTTGCATTTATTTTATTGCTCTCTTCCTACCAAAATGAAGCAGTTGAAGTGGTTGCGTGGATTTCCCAGCAGAATGAACAGAGACAGAAGGAAACTGTGTTGAAAGAAGTACAGGAGACCTCTAAGGCCCCCAGAGGGACAGTGAACACACATGGTACTAATGGACATCTGGAGGAGAAACTGCCTTTTTTAACAAACCATCCTCATAGAGGGGATCACTGTGCCTATGGACATGGAGCACTCAGTACAATTACAAGGAGCAGTAGGTTCACAGTAGGGGCTGGCTCTGTGGCTCAAATAACTCAGGATAACTCAAGTAACTGAACACACCTCAGCATTTTGCTCTGGATTTTGCATGTGTGTGCTCCTCTTCTAAAACCAATTCCATGTGCAACTCATTTACACAGAATATACTGTTCATTACATATTCTGCTGAAAAAGTAGTGCCCAATAGATCTTTGAGAAATATTGTTACTCCTACCACTGTTCCCTTCCTGTAGGCTGGAAAATTACTGCCTTTCATCAATTTCATCCATCTGATCTGGTGCATGTAACATGGAATATCTAGCAGCAGGCAAACTATCACATATGTGTAACAAACAATTTTTGTGTATTCAATACTGTTACTTGCATGAATATACAGTCAATTTGCAAAATTCATCAGATGAAGTTAAAGGTCTGTTGATTTTTTTAGAGCCACTGCCTAGCACAATTAGCAAATCTTACTTAGACAATGCAATCAGTCATATAATCACTTCAAAATACATTCTGGATCAAAAAGCAGACAGGGTACCAGGACTCACCTAAAGCACACATATAATTCTTAAGGTACATGCATTATACATGACTATATCCATCCCCCAAAAAACCAAAGCATTTCCAACATCCAACACGCTGTCCTACATGACCTCAGTTTTTAAAAGAGACATCGACAAGCAATTGAAAAACTTACTAGGAAGAATGGTCTGTGGAAGTTTCCAGAGGAGTAACACCTGCTGTATTCTGCAAGAGTCCAAACAAAGGAGTCATTGATATGCACTTACACGTGAGGAGAAAGAAAAAGGCTTGCTTAAGTAATTTTTTATCTATTACTTCAATATTAGCCTATAGGAGACATTGAGGTTTAAATCTAAATGCAATTTAAGCCTTCAATGTCTTTGCAGAAAAGCAACAATTTTCGTGAGTTCCTTCAGGGCAGTGACAGGTTTTTAGCACAGCCGATGCCTTTTCACAGTGCCTATTCTTTTGTCTGGAAATGAGTCATTGTGAATAAAGCCAAAAGCAAGAAGAGATAACCAGCTGGGCCATGACCAGGAGACACATGCTCATAATTATTTCCCCAAGCTTTCCCCCAACCGGTCACTGCCCGCCTTTGCTTTAAAGGTGTATTACATTTCTGCAGCACAATACATTCCTCAGCGTTCAAAAAATATCAAAGCTCTAAAAAGATAAGCGATGTTTCAGTTCAGTTTCCTTACTTAAGAGAAGCAATGCCAGCTGCACAGGTTCAATAGCAAAAGCCAGTTCTTAGCCGCTTGCTTTAAATCCATCTAACGCTTCTTAGACACATTATTTAAAAATTGAAGGCAATTTTAGAAGCAATTCTCTATTTGGTGTCCCCTCATCTATGTGAGGGTTTCTATCTAAGAAGAAAAAGCAAATCTTGGGTTTGAAAAAGCAGCTTTTCCAAGTCCTGGTGAAATGCCGCAGCTTCAAAAAAATCAGCAACATTAAAAAAAAAAGAAAAAAATGGCGTGTTACCAATTAATCTATCATTTCATGGTTCGAGTGCTGCAGACCCTCGAAGCAGCAGCAGCAGCTGACCTGCCCTAGAAGGCCATGGCAAGGTGCAGCATAAGGAAAATTGTGTAAAATCTCTCAGGAATATCCAAAATCTTGGGTAGGCGTGAGCTCCAAGCAGAGAGCGGGGCTTGTAAGAAGGGAGAGTAGATGGCAACACGCTTGAAAGGCACGAGATGATGACGTGACACGCCAACCAAGAATTTTAAGCTGATTGCTGCTGCTGCCTATTCATGTGAAAAATAGAGAGGGTTTTTTTTGCAGACACTGAACTCTAAACCTGAAATGGGGACCGGGATGGGGGTGGGGGCAGCTGAATGCAGACGTGGTGGTGGGGAGAGAGACGAAATCACTGTATCTGAAATGGATTTCAAGCTGGATTCTCAGCATCACATTCTATTATTTCTGACAGCAACACAGCAAGCCATGCAGTCAGAACGCTCAGAACCATTATTTATCCCAACCTCATTTAATAATCATCCAGCAGTGAATAGATTAGAGCAGAGAGTTTGGAAATGGGGATTGGCAGCATGAAAAGAATAGGAAATACCTTCTGTGGCTTTTTATGTGGTGCTTTATAAAGCTTCTCCATTTTTTCTAAATCTGCCTCTAACTCAGTCTGGTAGAGGTAGAGGTCTTTTTCTAGATCACTCTGGTTAAAGAAGGAGAAGAAGAATGGGAAAACAATGCTTAGGGTTAGGGGAAACCAAAGGAATGTTAATTTTGAAAAAAAAAAAAAAAAGAGAGCCTTTTTAATCGAAAAAGAAGAAGGTGGTATGGACAATACACAGAAAATCACTAGCAACTAATCATGTTTCAATCATTATAGAGGAGATAGTTTTAGGCAATTAACATTAAAATCAAGAGATGCACAGGCCTGCTAGAATCTATTTCTACAAACCATAAAGTTATAAAACCCACCTGTAAAGAAAAAAAAAGATACTGTAATAATACGCAATATGCTGTTAGTACAATTATCATTGCAAGTCAAGATAGCAAAACAACCACTCTAAATTATGGCTGATTATGATTTCAGAATTGCTTATTAAATCAATTTTCTAGCTACTTAATTGTTAGGCTAATGAGCTCAAGTCCAATTAAAAAAGAAAATCACTCACAAGCACACAAAACCCAAGCAATGCTACAAGAAAAAAAAAAAAGAAAAGAAAACCACATACACACATATATACGCGCTAGATGCTGTAGTGCAACGTACGTGAGACACAATTACCTTTCTATCCTCTCTAGTAAGGATAGAGCAATCTCCAGGAGTATAATCCCAAATCTTTTTTGGAGGCTGATGGAAAGCAGAGGAAGGAAATGAGGAAATGAAGATAAGGAAAGACATCACAGAGAATATGGAAATTGGATTAGAACAGAGGGGAAATACAATAGGGAATTTGCATCAACACTGAAAAGAAATTATAAAATAACAACAAACCACAACAGAGAAAGAGAAGAGAAAGAGGGATAAATCTGCTATAGTATAAATACCAGGAAATCATGGGGGGCAAAAGGGAACATACATGCAGTGTGGAAGGGGCTGTTTTCAGTAATGTTTTCAGAAATTTTTTTTGCAAGGTGCTCTAAGGGATTTTGGACTCTCTAGAGGGTGCCACAGCTGTTGGTTAAAGCATTCTTAACAAAAAAAAAACCAAAACAAAATGGGGGTGAGAACCACAGAGTCATAAAAAGCATTTGTTTTGCTCATTCTTCTTTTCAAAAGGAAAGGGTAAACCAAAGGCCTTTGATAAAGAAAAGGGAAAATCTTTCTCACTTCCATCAGCATATGAATACATACCATGTGAACAAACGGCTGATTTTCCCGTGGTGGCATTGTGGGGCAATGAGAATGCAGAATTGTTATTTTTTATTTCACTGGTTTGGGAGTTGTTTGCGGGGATTTTTGGTGGACAGAGTGGGATACAAGAAAGTTTGGGAACTAGCTATTTCCAATTCATCCTACAGCTGAAAGGGCTGATTTCAAAATGGATTTTTTCCTGTTTGGGTGAACATATTAGTATCAGGCAGGATTATTCAGAGTAAAAGACTGGACTGGACTCCCATTACTGGAGTGAGCAAAGCTACAAAATGCATGTTCTTTAGGCTGTGGCAACGAAGCTCAGAAAAGGCTTGCCAGCTACAAAAGTCTGAGATGGCATCCTGAACTCGAGTGCCTGACACTGATGCACTAGTTCTGGAGTTCCACATTCAGGAACTGGCACAGCTCCTGGGGACCATGGCTGCATGGCTTCGGAACCGAAGCAAGGTCAAGGCAGGCCTTATAAGAGAGCAGCACTTGACAAGAGTGCCCTGAGCAAGGTGGGGAAATTGTCACCAGAACAGATGGTCTGCTGAACATGAGACAGATTGCCCTGAGATAGCCTCTTCTGGAATAAGGCCAAGGCTGCATGACTAAAAGCACAAATCCACACTTCTAAGGAACGGGTATACCCCCACACGTAGCAAGGACCAAGGGCATAAATGCTTTTCTTTCTTTGGCACATTTTCCATTAACTCACACTAACTCAAAGGACCACAGAGATGACAAACTTTCACTCACTGCAAAAGCAGATGGCTATTAATTACATGGCAACAAAGATAAACAGGTTCCTTCTCACTGTGGAAACCTTAAACCATGACAAGTTGTGAGGAGTTAAATGCTTACATTGACAACACTTAGAAGTCTCATCGAGGTGAGATTTATCTGACTTTTACTGCCTAAACATTAGGAGGTCTCATCTCAAACACTGCTGAAACTTCTTTAGCTTAGGATGGAAGGCCCATAGCTATAAAACATAGTTTTCTATGAAAGGCTGGACAACTTAACCACTGCACATCCTTGCTTTCCAGCAAAAATTATACTAATTTTATGATGTGATCAGACTGAGCACACAACTCCAGGTAGCTACATTCTGTGCAGAGGAACTTTGTCACTTCTGCCAGAACAAAACCTCGATTTAAAGGAAACCTGCTCTCTGGTGTCCATGTGCAGTTGCCTTTGAAGTCAGTACTGAACCTTAAAAAATACTTCTGTTTTGTTGTACACACATGGAAACTCATCAGCACTCAAAATTTGTGTGCATGGGCATTTGACTACTGACCTCAAGGGGAAAGGAGAAATGAGAAACCATCAGTATGTCTAAATATGTGTGAGAGGCTGGTAGTAACCCTCTGGTGCAGTAAGAGTAGCTTATTAAATAGTATTTAATAACTAAATTAATAGTGTTTAATCAGTAAGAACCAGGCCATAAAATGCTTTAAAGTCACATTTTTTCCCAGTAGCCATGACCACTGATGTGTGTTCCCTCCATCAAAATGTTCTTTGTTTGATTGAATAATTAAGCTTTGGTTCATCTTTTCCAGAGGGGAAATTTAAGCTTTTTTTTTTTTTTTTTTTTTTTTTTTTTTGTCTCCACACATAGCAACACAGCTCTATTTGAGAAGAAAGAACACTGTTCTCAGACTCCTTTGTTTTCAGGGAAAGGCAAGGGTTGTTCAACACAGGCTAGTGCCCTAGTGCCTCCCATTTTATGCAATGGGCAGCTACATGCATAAGGAAATAAGCAGGAAACAAGGTCATGATCTGTTTATGGAGAGCTGGAAATTACTGACCTACAGTTTACAAGCCAGGGACAGGAATAAATAACTCTCCTTGACTTTAACTTATCTATCAGCTGTCCTAGATCTTGTTAGGCAGAAGGAGAATAAGGGCTTTGAATATGGCCTTTTAAGAATGAGAGGATGGTATTATTTCTAACATTAACAACAAAAATGCAGTTTGAACTATGGTGTGTGAAAAAATATTACCTTGTTGATACATAGTGCTGGAAGGTGGGGAATGTTTGTAAATGGCTTCAAAACACTAAAAGTGGCCACAGAACAGCTGCTTTATGTTAGTACCAGAATGACATTATGTACAATCACATCTTTAAATGAGTAAGGCAGCTGTTTCAGATTTAGGGCCTAGGAAAGAGATGTGACAATCATAAAAAAAAAAAAATTAAAAAAAAGGCAGGTTGATTTCATTGGTCATTGCAACTATCAAACTTACCGGTTTCCCAAACTCCAATTCCGAAAAGAATTTATACCAAGGTTCATTCTTTAAATCTATCTCTTCTGGGCTTATATCCCGAGTCTAAAGGAATTGGTGATAGGGGAATGGAAGAAAGAGAAGGATAACATTATGCAAAGAATACACGGAAAGGGACTGTTAGAGATGCAGATCCCATGGCTTCCATTTTAAAATGTAGATATTCAGCCTTATAATTTGGTATTTCTATTGCATGTTTCTCATAAAGGCCATGAACTGCTTTGAAAACATCAGTTAAGCCCAATAGCATCATTGGGACCAACATGAATATGAATGAATTGCATTTTACAGGTCAGGAGACCCACAAAGAGAGAGAGATTATGCAGCTTGCCCAGAGTCACAGCGAGACTCAATGGAAGAGCAGAGAGTCCGGCAGTCTGTCAGTCCTACTGTCAGACACTTTTATCAAGTCAAAAGCTACATATACTTTATTATTATTATTATTTTAAAGCTTCATTTGGTTAAAAAAATAGAGACTCAGTAAGACCTGAATCAAATACTGCATCTTTAACAGCACATGAACATGTGAGAAACCCTGTTCTATACACTGCAAACAGAGTGGAAGGTGGTTTTCTAAATCATACAAGACACATGTCAGAGAGAGTGCACCCTAAGACCTCTGAAAGGATGGACAGAGCAACAATATTACATGTTTCTTCACAAATAAATGTTAGAATATCAGACAAAACTACAATGAAGGAAAATCAGACAGGACAGAAAACAGTACAGCTGAAAAGGAAGTTCCCTTTCATTCATACCATCTGTCTTAATGAAACAAAAAAAAAAAACCTGAAATAGTTGTAGCTGTTTGAAAACACTGTTGGTGAGGTAAGAGAATAAAAGTCCATTGCTAAAGCTTCTGAGGTACCACTCTCCAAAAGTGTGGGATAAAAGATATCTAGCTAATTCTTGCATTTCAGTATACCTAGTCAAAGACAGAGTGGATCTCGGTGCATTAAAAATATACACACATTATGTCTGCTGTGCAGGTAAGATCCCAAGTGCTCCATCACAAGGAAGAAGGAGCCCCACAGATGCACGTCCTCATGGAAATAATTTTGTGATGGGGTTACTGAGGCAATTGACAAAAGTGCTGGACTTGTATGTCCCAGATTCTGCCATAGCCATCAGCACCACAAAAAAAAGGCTCTAGGAAAAGAGCTCAGGATTGATGCTGAATGAGAGGAAATGCAAGATAAATAGTTACATCATGTTTAATACCTGTTGGCCTGGAGAATGATTTGGCTATTTCTTAAAGGCATAAAGGAATCAATACCTCTCTTTTTTATTTACTGCACTCCAGCTAAAAGCACTCATCTTATATAACTGTGTCTACATTAAAACAAAGCCCAGTGGTATCAACAGCAGGCTATTCATTACTCTGAAATGGTTTTGGACTGGGATTCTGATAGTCACAGCTGTGGGTGTGATTACCAGGTGATATTCACAAAGCTCCTGCACCTGTCTGAAAGATGCAGTCACTAACCACTATGGTACTGCTATATTTAATGAGACTGATGGAGACTGTGAAGCTACTATTTCCAAGGCCTTCTTTCTTCTCTGGTCTATGGCTTCAAATTAAAGCTCATAAAATAACATTGGAAGTAACACAGCTATAACCTTCATCTTGGTTTTGATGAGCTCTGTACATAAAATGTTTTTCAGTTATGCTGATGACGGTTCTGCTTGTAGAACCATCAGTATCTTTTAGACTCTGATTCCACAGCTCAGTTCAGCACCTGATGAAGTCTGAACACGTAAACAGCGCCACTGGTGATGACAGACCTTTTGCAAATGCTTAAGTACACAGATGAAGCTGGCCTTTTGCCACAAGTTTTAATCTTGTCTGTTTACCGTGAGACAAAATTGATGTTTAAGTCAGCGGAAATCTGGCTCCAGGATGGACTGCAGGAATGGAGGTGTCATACCATGTTCAAACCACTCCTCACTGGCACTTCTCTAATGGGCTGAGCCAACACCCAGTGGTATCAAGAGGGAGCCATCCACCGCCCATTGCAATAGGCACTGGGATCACGCTCCCATCAGGAGCAACTTTGTTGAAGTCAATGAAGGGACACGGGTGTGAAAAGAGGTTGGTTGCAGCATCTTCAAAAAGTGATGGACCTTGATTACACTTGGAAGGAAAAAAGAAAACCCACCAAAATACTAAGGAGAAGCATCAGGTCCCACATCAGACTTGATTGTTACATTTCTATTGATTTAAATTGCTATTCACTCTTGTGTAAAATCCTGGGCAGGTTTTTCAGGAGTATTCCTTTATCTATTCCATGCACGGATCAATGTCTGAGCTGTTAAGGTACAACTTACATGTTGTAAACTCACATGCAATTAGCAGTTCTAATTGAATCCTTCAAATTAATGCCTTTATAGAACAATTATATCTTTATGCACTATCTTTGTACACTACTAACAACATTCAGTATTTTCGAGCAGTTACAGTGTCACACTTGCACCATGGAAGGACACCTTTAGTGATCTGTGCTGATTTATACTGGACTGGCTGACGAGGTTAGCATCATCTCTCTGCCTGTTCCTTGTCAAGTATTCTCAACCAAGGCTGAAGAAAGAGACTTTTTTATGTCCCCAGCTGTCACAATTCACAGCACTGCTTGCTAATTCAGACTGAAATTGGAAACAGCTCACTTAATATGCCAGGTTACATTTCACCATCGCTGGAGAGCTCACATTGAGTCCTGCCACCTCTGTCAGAGAAGTGGTGAGATCCAGTCAAGGAAAAAAGCAACCCAGGGAAAATGGCCATATCCTAATGTACCTCAGAGGCATCCGCTGAGGCACACTAAAGGAGCTCTGAAAACTAGTTCAGTGTTTAAAGCATCAGAGGAAAACAGAAACTGAACCTGCCTTCTCTGTTGCATAATGCCTTCAACCCTCCTGCATCAGCTAATGCTGTGCCCTAGAAAAAGTACAGCTGGCAAAACAGCTGCTGAACAGGTCACAGTGTCAAACATGGATTAAAAACTAGGGTTAGTGATCCATACTTAACATGGAAAACAACACGTCCAGAAGGAAAGAAGCCTCTCAATCCCCCCTGGATCTTGCTTTAGAGAGAACAAAAATGTTAGGAAGTTATGCAGAACAGTTTTCAAAAAACATCATACGGGCACTGCAATGTCAGCATAAGGAATCCCATCCAAATAGAACCACACAAGCATTTAGAGAGTATTTCATAATCACAAGATAAAGCCACAAACTAGGATAAATCAAACATTACCATCTTTTCGTTGTTCAGAACAGAGGACTTCCCTGGCTGATAGTCATAAATGCTCCTGGGTTCTGCACGGTATTTTCTGGTGTCCACCTTCTTGTCTGGAGGCTCCCAGTCAGTCCTGAGGAAAGAAAGATCAATTACCCAAAATACTGTGGTTTCTGTGGAGATAAACTGGTGCTTTACCCTAATAATTATGGTTTTATCAGGGTACTTTTAACCTAAGAAAAGAGACTGTTACAAGAGGAACACTTCAGATAGGGCTCCAGACAGGTATTTGTTTATCTATCACAGGCAGTTGGAAATAGCTCAGCTGCTGAAACAACTGGTGTGGAGGGGAGTTATTCTAAGAACTTTCAGTAAACTTCAGACTTCTAAATCTTTCCCCATTGGAAACACCTTAATGAGAGGCTTCAACTAAGACCACAAATATAAACATGTCCAAACTTTAGGCAGAACTCAGATTAAATTACTTTTCCTAAACTTCTGCCTTTTAGCCACATCACTGATTACCTGATTACCACTGCTCTGGATTCTGAGGGCACTCTGGATTCCAAGAGGAGGTTTTTTTCTAGACACATGAATGAATTATCTCAGGCTCTATTTTAATATGGCTAAGAACAGTCCATTGACTACCCAAACCACTATAATTTTGTGCAGTGCCTATACCAACACAGCTGAAACAACAACAGTCACAAAGCATTCAGGGTCCTTATGCTACAAGTTCCTGCTGGTCTCAAAATGGATATAATCAGACACCTAATGCAGAATATGATGACACCTAATGCAGAAAATGTTCTCCAAAAGGCTGAGCAATCAGCTCTTTTAGGATGATAAACTAATTCTGATTTTGCTCTTGGCATGCTGTCTTTGATTGGCAATGTGTATGTGGATTCATCTCACCCAGAATTCACCAAACAAAACTGAGGCATCTGTGCAAAACTGCTGCTCAAGGTTTCCTCTCCCTTACCCTTCTGATCTATTAGGATGGAAACAAACCACTGAGCTGCCTAAACTCTCTCCACTGGCTGAGAAGAGACAAAGACAACCCATTTAATTTTTTTCCTTTCTCAAGTAAGGCAAGATGACAGCCAAAATGATTGGCATACAAACAGTGCACAAATTTCAACAAGGATGATCTTTCCTGTCCAAACTAACTTGATTAATTAAAGACTCCAACCACAAAGAAAATTCTGGTGAGGCACTGGTTTGCTACTAGATAATAGGAAGCATTAATTATGGTAATCCTTTCACTTGCAAGAGTTTTCTCAGAGGGAAAATACACTATATCTTCAATTCCTGCATAAGGAAGACACTTTCTATCAGTAAATTTTGTCTCCTAATCCAGTGACCTGAGATACTCACTAAAGCAGATATGTCAAAATACAGCTTTGCTCATATGAGGCAGCAAACGAAAAACACTAAGAGCATGTAGAAGCTGGTAAAGGAGGGAAGAACAGTTCAAGAGCTGGGAAAGTTCAGCAGGACATAAAATATTCTTAGCTCATTCTGCTTTCCCTTCATTTGTACATGCATTCCTTACTGTTACAAAAAGGTTTGAAACACACGGTAATAACCAAAGCAAAAAGCCAGGAGGGAAGTAATCCTGAAGACCAGAAATGACACTGCTGACTAGAACCTACTTCAGGTAAGTTCATATGGCTAAGATTCTTCAGAGATGGAAAATGAAACTAAGTTTTTACCAAGACTCAACATAAACCCAAATTTTGCTTCTCCACAATTATCACTACTTGCTTGTATTCTGAGGTACCTTTACAGAGTCACACTGAGCCAAGAGTTTCCACTGTGCCTATGTGGTAGGCACTGTATAAGCATGACACCCAACTCTTGACCCAGACAGGATGATTGGCATACAAACAGGCTGTGTGATGCCTGATGGAAAAGACAGACAGAATGGGGGACTGGGTTGTGACAATGAAGGAGTCCACTGCCACCTAGTAAAAGACTCAGAGTAAAAACTAAGTATCAACCTTCCAAAAAAGTTTAACTGGAGCTGTGGAACTAAGGCTTCCACTTTTAACCCCTTCCCATTGACAACTTTCAGATATTCTTCCAGAGCTGATCTATAAAAGGCTTAGTTCCGATCACCTTTCTGGGCTTGATTTCAGTGATGAAGCACGGTTTGGCAGTGGCAAAGTGGCAGACCTCTTCACAACCTTCTCTGAATCTATATTGTCCATCTCACTCTTGGAGCGGGGAACTTGGGTTCTGCCTGTAGGAGAAATCACATAGAGGAATGTTGGTGAACTGGATAGGAGGCCAATAAATATATGCTTTACATGCCCTTTCTTTTTGACAGATCAAACAAGAAATGTGAATTACTTACTGTCCTCAGAATAGGAATAACGTGGAGAGAATGAATCAGAATCTTCATCTGAAAGACAAAAGCATTTTGCAAATGAGTCAAAAAAGCCCCAGAGAAAAAGCACCAGAGACCCTTTAATTTCTTCTACTAATGCATTCACCATAATTTGAGTGATATGCCCAATACTTACCACAGGAAGAGGATCCTAAAGAATAAAATTCCAATGAGGTTAAAATTGCATTTGAAAATAATTCCTAGATTAGATATAAATATTAATATACTATTTACACTAATACCTTTCTCCAGGCTCTCAAAGTACTTCAGAAAATAATCCCTTTTTATCATAAAACTCCTCTACAGCAAGGGTTATAGATCCACTTTATCAAAAGCTGAGAGATAAATAGAGGATCCAAAGGCCATAGTATATGATCAAAACAACTCATTAGGTACTAAACACAATAATACAGCTGATGGGCCCTGCTGACAATCACATATGACTCTTGTATTTAGAGTATTCTGTATATTCAGAATATTCTGTGATTCTGTGACTGCACCATTTGCATTGCCTTCCTTTGGATGCTATTAGAGAGCATCCAAAGGAAGGCAATGAAGATGGTGAAGAGTCTAGAGGTGAAGCCACATGAGGAGCAGCTGAGGTCACTTGGTCTGTTCAGCCTGGACAAGAGGAGACTGAGGACAGACCCCACTGCAGTTACAGCTTCCTCTGAGGGGAAGAGGAGGGGCAGACACTGATCTCTGCTCTGGGGTGACAGTGACAGGACCCCAGAGAATGGCCTGAAGGTGTATGGGGAGGTTTAGGTTGGACCCTAGGAAAAGGTTCTTCACCCAGAGGGTGATCAGGTACTGGAACAGGGTCCCCAGGGAAGTGGCGACAGCACCAGCCTGACAGAGTTCAGAAAGTATTTGGACAATGCTTTCAGGCACATGGTGAGACTCTAAGGGGTGTCCTGTGCAGGGTCAGGAGTTGAGCTTTGATGATCCTTGCAGGTGCCTTCCAACTCAGAATATTCTGTGATTTTGTGACTGCAAAGAGAATTGTGAGCCAAAGTATTACTAATATCTCTGCAAAGAAACCACTCAATGTGACAGAGGAAAACACATAAAAACAAAGAAGATGAAGCTAGAATCAACTAGATTTTAAAAAACCCACAAACTTTAAAAAAAAGCGTTATGTAAAATTAGTTATGACAATCAACAGCTTGAAACAACTTCTAAATTTTCTCTCATGGAGGACATCGATCAGATACTACAGCCAATCTCATCGGCTGCAAAAAACCAATTTGGCTAACACAGCTGACCTGAAGTTGCACTCAAGCCTTCATTAAGCCTTTCAGGAACGCTCAGGGTAGTCTAAATCTCTAACCTATCTGCTTTAGTTCTCTTGGTGAATGAATTAGAAGGTTAAAGTTCCAAAAAGATGGTTATTGAAGTCTTTGTATGCCCATCATAACTGTCAGGTTAAGAAGGCCAATTCCCATTTTTAAACCTTACTGACAAAAACCAAATATCCATATTACACTGAACTGTTGACAAAAATGACTTGTATTCTTAAATACAAGTTTGATTTACTCTGACAAAAAAATATTTGGTAAATCACAAAACTCAGTAGCCCCTACAAGTACAGATAAACAAATGTCTAAAACAACTTTCACAGCTATTCACCTCTAATAATCTTCTTTAGTGCTGTTAATAAATAAAAGATAATTATACTTACTTACTTGAAGAGAAATATCAACATTCATTATAGCTTGTCATTCAAACAAGAAAAACCATACAATAAAAATTCACTTCAGATAATGGCTATTTTCCTATTTCTTATATTCTAATATCTACAATAATGAGGAGAATAGCTATGTTTTGTCTCTGAGTAGCTTCTGAAGAAGAGTGTCTACATTTATTTCCTTTTTATATAAGCAATACAGAAAGAGAAATCTGGAGTGGTTTGATAACACTAAAGAGCAAATCAGAATTGAGCATTAAAATAACATCATCTGTTTCTCAAAGCTTTATTCTATCCATTCTCAAAGCAGGTTACCACAAGTTTGTAACTTCAAAATCTGATTCCTTTAAAGAAGAGAGGCTGTTTCCCTCTAGGTGGTAGAGAATCTGCAGGCTTGGACTTCATTTCATGGATTGGACATATTCTGTATGGTTTCAGAAATGTTGAATATAATTTTGAAGGGAGCCCAGATCTTGATGCTTCTAGGAGGTCTTATGCATCAATCCATTCTGACATTAATTGTATGAAAGTGAGGCTCCAATTCACCTCTGTATAAACACTGCCACTGATTATGGATCTTTGAAGTGTTTTCTAAACACGAAACATGTCCTGCAACCCCTCCAACTCTTCTACATCATCAATTATTTTGTATTTCTTATCAAGAAAAGAATCCAAGCAAATATTAGAGAAATGTTTCCCAGTATATTGAGAATAGAAATTAGTGTTTAGTCCAATAAAATTTCAACTATACAAACCAGCAAATTACTTTCAGGTGCACATTTTTAAGTGCATAGGAAACATTTATGGGAGAACAGACTCTTTAATATATTGTCTAAATGGAGTTTGAAAACTTTGTTAGCCTAGAGGAGTAAAAAGGATTTTCAAACCTCATTATGAACAAGGAAATATTCTCTGTAAAATGCTTTTATCCATTAATTACTGAAACAGTGTTTCTCACACCCATACCCACATACCATTCTGCCAAGAGAAAACCACTTACCCTGCATTACAATTTGCAAGACAAGGCTCTTCACCTAATATATTTCACTAAGAAATCATTAAGTATCTTAGATACCTGTATGACACTTCATCCACATTCATTTTAACAGTGAAATACATCTTACATTTCCTTGCCTTCTTTGAGTATCTCAGCTCATACTGCATGCTTTCTTCTTACACAATACCCACCAGATGTTTAATACAAATATTGAATAAAATGGTTAATTAATAGTCTCACCAGGGTTGGCTTGAGGCACAGGCTAAGTAGGCAAGTTCCTAGATTGCAGGATCTAAACTGTCACCAAAGCACCAAGCCAACAAGGCTGTCACCAACAACTTCCCAATCAGGAAATGTCTGAACATCCAATGTCTGCAGCAGATTCCAGTGTTTCTCATATATAAATATTTTGCACAGTCACACAATTACCACTGCAACAGGTGCTGTTTCACCATCCCTGAAACATGCCTGCAAAGTATTCTGATTTGAATATGAACTTTAAAGGAATCTGCTGAGCACATGAAAAGATAAGGTAAAGACAGTGTTATTTCAAGTTGCAAGATGTGTTGATGAATCCAAACTCTGTCCTTGCCTAGATATGCCAAGTGCACCTAAGACCAGCCCTGAACCTATGCTATCAAGTTATTTTTATTTTAAAAGACTACACTAAGGGACTGATCCAAAACCCACTGAAGCAAGTAGCCTTTTTACTAATATGCTTCAGTGACATTCTGGGTCTGGCCCTAATACTATGTTAATGTTAAAAACCAAAAGCAAATAATTAATGAAATTTATTGATTTGGAAGGAGTGGGGGGAGAAATCTCAGTTAAACCCATCTTTACACATAAAGTCAGCAACCTAGACATGTTAAATAATCACTGCACACGCAACTGATAAGTGCAGAAAACCAAGCAAACCCCGAGTTTGCAGCATTAGTCAAATACTAGTTACAAAGCCAGAGGAGCACTGCAAAGCCAAAAAGGCATCATACAGTCAAGGCAATGCTTAGAGTGCAGCAAATCATTATGAGGAAGCATAAAGCTCAGCAACTAGAAAAAACTCCAGGAAGAAAATAAATTGATAAGGCAGCATTTGTGCAGAAAAAATAGATATGGACCTTAATTTTTACCTTCAGAGATAGGACTAGGAGTAGATGCAGGAAACTGGTATGTAGGAGAATAAGGATTGTCTTCTGCAGCAGAGAAAAGCAGTGGATTTTGAGAGTATCCACAGTGAAGTGGAAGTTCTGCTTCATTCCCCAACTTCTATCACCATATGATTTTATTCCCTACTTTAATAACACTAGGGTAAATGGTATCATATTTTAAAAGAGATTAATGGATTAGCAAAGATTTAGTTATTTTATGCATCACACAAGAAGGTATACTGGGAATAACTGAATTTCCAGGAAGTGCAACAGAAAACTAGAACCTGAATCTAGTTATTATTAGGGCACTATAGTACAGTTAACTCAAAGCACAAGACAACAGATACACTGACTAAACTTCTGGTACCTTCAGTTTTTTGCTGGATTTCAGGAAGTTCAGGAAATGTGTAGGTAGGGCAATAAGGGTTTTCTTCAGCATTGTCTAAGGAGAGGAACATGATTTGCAAAAAAGAACAGAGAGGACAGGTTTGAAGGGGAAGAAGGGCGAGCCAAGAATCCATTCAAGCTGACTACTACAGTCCCTCTCATGCTGATGTTCTAGCAAGACACAACCTAGAATGCCTCTTTGTTCACTGCTGCCTTGCATGTCTGGGCTTTGGGAGAGATCCTGGAAGCCAAGGGCACTGAACTCATTCTCCTCCATCTGAGCATGGGCTTTAGCTGAGCTAAAGAACCTCTGTTAGGAGCAGCAGGATTAGGAAATAGTTCAACTCCTCCTCATCCCATCCACTGCAGCACAGCATTTATCTATGCATAAAGCTCATCAGGACAGCACCTGCAACAGCAAATACAGCTCCAGTTTTGCATGCTCTGCATTTGGTTCCAGAAGCACAGATCTGAGCTGTGCTTGCCTGTGTGTCAGGCTGTTCAGAGGAGTCAGCTTGCAAGTGCTACTGCAGCCATTTCTCACACAGAAAAATGTGAATATATCAGCAGTCAGGCATAGAAGTGCCCCAAGGTGGGAATCCCCTGAGAGTTCACCACTGTGAAGTTTGTAAGGGCTCACCACAATTCTAGGTTTTCAAACGAGAAAGATTAGGGTTTTGAAAAAGCAGAATTCAGATTCTAAACTCACCAATAATTAATGGAAACTTTTCCACTGGTTTCAGTGAACTTCAAATCCTGCTTTGTTGTGCAGGTACTAAAGCTTAGCAGTGTAAACAGTTTCCTCTTATGCACAAAGAAGTTTCAGAGATAACCTACTGTATTTTAAAAGTGAGTAGATTGGGTTAGCTGGTAAAACTGGAGTTCAGGGATCTATTTTCCCTAAGTATGGAATTATTATCAGCTTTTCTGGTCTCAAATAGTATAGTTGTTTTCATGAGGGCACTGCAGTTCACCTTTCAGAACAACTCAGACCTTTCTTTGGACTTCAATGTTCTCCTACCTTTGACTTCAAAGATTTCGAATACATTGGTTGAGTTCCGTGGTACAGAGCACACACTAACTAACACTAAATGCTTTTATTTAACATCCAGTAAAATTCTTCATATGAATGAAACAAAATGTCTTCAAGGTGGTCTTTTAAAGTAAATAAAAACCATCTGTGCTACAGTACCTCTATTTAGCTTGTGGATCTGTTTGAACATCGTCTTGTACCAGTCCTTCGATCTGTCTGTATTCTGTTGGAAAAATAAATATACATAGAAATAATCAACAGTGACTGTACCAGCCTTTCAAAGTTATCACAAATCTTACAGCAATGAAAAAAAATTACACTCTATGTGAAAGCTGCATCATATGAATATCCTGAAATATTAATTATTTCACTCCGATATATCATCTCATGTGACATTTCATTCAAGTAAGTAATAATGTAAAAGCTTTGCGGAGGCAAGTTGTAACCTCTCTAGAACTGCAGATTGTATGAAATATTTTGTATATTAATCTGGTTTGACATCCAAACAAACAACTTTCCTGTTTTAGTCATATATACCAATTTCCTAATTATTCAGTGGAGAGTTAGAAACATTGAGCCTTTAAGTCATTCCAGAAACTACTTGTAAGAGTAGGTTAATCACTCTTTTCATAATTTCCCCTGAACATTGAATGAATGTAATCACATTTAAAAGAAGTATCTGCCTCTAAGATGGCTAAATGAGACAAAACTCTCCTTCAGCTGCTAGGAAGGAAACAGAGGAGCAGAAAACATTATTTTCAGATATTATAGGAAACACTAATTTTTAATTTTCTTCTCCCTGAAGCAGCTGAAACAGGTCATAGATAGCAAATGGAATAATTCATCATAAATTATATTGGAATTAGAATTCTATCTTCCCTTAAATCTCTGCAGAATTAGTGAGTTCCCTAAGTCCTAAGGTAAGCAGAATGTAGCCCAGGCTTTGTGCACCAACCACATGCTCAGTGCTTTACCCTCAGTGGAATTCCAATGTCATCAACAGAGGTATCAGCCATGTAGGGAGGGCTCCTGACAGTGCTTCTCTTCTCCTCCACTGCCCTCTTCTCACTTGGCACAGCCTCCTGAGCCGGCTTCTCCCGCAGAAGTGCTGAATCAACTCTGTCAGAAACTAATCTGTCTGGCACTGAATCTGGAAATGACAATGGGGGATTTTCATCTCATCCCAGCATTTCACAACATCACCATATTGGGTTCTTTTAAGGCAAAAATTCTAGCAAGTAGTTGATGAGACAGACTGTCACTGCTGGTTGTGATTACTAGCTAATCTGAAGGAAATCTCCCAAGAAAATGCCCAATGCCAGCAAAAGCAGGCGAGCATCTCTCAGGCAGTTACCATCACACATCTCATGACAGCCTCAGCTGTCATATAAGACAATAATTTTGGTTTCAACAATTGCTTCTTTTGACTAATTAATAACTCTACAATGTCCATCTTCATCAAAAAGCACCTGTAATACAGTCTCCTGTACATCTTTTTTTCTGCCAATTTCAACCTAAATGTGGTAGTGGTGCATCACTTTTTAACAGATTGCATTCACCTGTCTGACAGCCCCATTTGTTGCAGACAGTATACGATGTTTCCAATTCACTTCCATGCCCTAATCAGAGTGTGTAAACAACAAATGTTGTTTAAGCATACATATGACATGATTGCACAGGAGTCTGCATAAAGATGGAGGGAAATAATGAATTTCTTCAGATTGCCTTGCTTCCAAATTGGAATTTCTTGACACTGCCCAGCTGACACCCAGAGGTAGCAGCAGGCATCACCAAGGGACTTCAGATTGTTCTGAAGCTCTGCAGAGCTGCAGCACAGCAATCCTTACACTCAGTGAAGGATTTTTTTTCTATGTGGATTTCCTGCAGACGAAACACCTGCAATTTCAGTCTGCCTCATCAAGACTTTTGCAAATCCTATAATTTTTACATCACTGCATGCACTGAAGAGAGAAAGATATGTTTATTCACATGCACATCACCATCCTGCCCAAAGCCATTAAATGTGTAGAAATCTGATAGGGGCAGACAGTGGAGGAAAGGCTCGTGCACAGCAATGCATTGATCTGTTGGTACCATGAGCAAACACAATTCTGCCCTGCAAAACTCAGAACTAAAGGATTAGTGTTTAAAAGCTAAATCACGTAAATTTTATGATTTAGGACAAACAGATGAGTAATTTAGGTGTTTGGTATATTTCTTTGCAGTTCCTGGGCAGTGTGTTTGCTAAAGGCACCCCAAAAGCTATCAAAGCAGCAGCTTTGCTCCAGCAGAGGCAGCAGCTGGGGGGGTAGCAGACCTTTCACATCATACCTGCCAGGCTACTAAGCCTTTTTTGCTGTTCTGTGATAAAGGAAGAAACAAAACAAAAAGAAATACAGGACAAATGTGTGAGACATAAACACCAAGTGCTCTGGTGCTGCATTTCTGACAGGCAAGAAATACACTGTAGAATGATAGCAGGTGCTGCAGAGAATCTGTTTTCAAATACCCTGCCAAAGTGACAGCCCATGGTCCCTTCTCCACACAGCAGCCTCGTGGGATAACAAATCTCATGATGCAGTGAGATTTTTGTATCTTTGCAAAATACATTTGCAAAGAGCACTTATATTTAAATTTTCATTTTTTTTCATAACATAAGAATAAACATCAGAATATTTAAAGAATAAAACATTGGACAGGGGATGATTTGAAAACCAGTAAAAATTCACAGAGTCAAGCTACTTGATAACTAACTCTGTTACCATTATCATAAAGTACATTTTGAAATAATACTGCTGTAGCATTTCAAAGGGATATAGGAATGGATAAAAGTCATTGTTGGTGCTTGCTGGGTCTCATCACATATTACTGAGCCACAGATATAATGACTTGTGCACAGACACAGCTTGAAGGCTTTAGTTCTTGAAATAGTCCCCTTGGTTAGAGGCTTTTCATTAACCAGTTCCTAGACTGGAGTATCTGTGGTATCTCTCAGCAGGTTTCATCACCCTAAAGTTAGTGCTTCCTAAAAGGATTTCCAAATGACTTACCCAAATCACAGGGGAATAAACAGGAATGCTTAGCACTCTGTTCTCTGCTCTTTTTTTTTTTTATTCCCTAGCAATTAACTCTTTTCTTTAAAGCATGAAAGCCATTTGAAGAGAATAAAATATTTTACTGATATAAAAAGCACAAACAGTGTTGAAAGCTCATATTGTTAGAGCACAGATTAAAAAACTTTAATACATTCAACACACCTGTTATATATTTATGATAAACCATGCCATGCAATGCCTGAACAGGAAATAACTGTGCTTTGGGGTGGCATAGAACACTTGCCAAGCAAGTTTGCCATAGTAACAAACCTCTAGGTGTGTGCTGTTTTCTAGAGGAACCCACCTTCACCACGTATTTGTACTAAGTGGATCATCTCAGCAAGGAAGACTGGTATTTCTCCTCAGTGTAGCTCTCCCACCAATACCTCTGAACATGGATCTTTGGCCTCAGCCCTCTGCTCTGCTGACCACTGATGGCAAGCTGCTCCTACACATCATGTTCACCCAATAGCTGCCCACATAGGAAAAAAACCCCTACATGCACTGGGTAAAAGCAAGGGTCAGCACTCTGAGCCTTTGAAAAGCTAAGCCACAGCAAACTTGGAGTTTCCCAAGTCCACTAGAAATCAAAGCAAACTGGACTGCATCTCTGTGCTCTGTTACAAGCTACAGTCTTTAGTGCTGCACAATGAAATGAGGAGCTGTGGTAATGCCAGCCATCAGGAGAACTAAAAAGGAGGAGCAAAGTTTCCCTCCAAATCCAGAGGTAAAGAGATAGAACTATCTATTCAGCTTGTGTGAGAACGATGTTGATTCCTGGGAGTTCTCAAATGAGGCTGTTTTGCTCATTTGCAAATCCAGAGCTCAAGATTACTGCAATATGAGTTTGAGTTGATCCAGTTACAGGCAGAGGAAAAAATTGCCAAGATCAAATTTGTGGGCAAGTAGATTATTTACTATTGAGTAAATTCTGCTACAAATTCAGAGGTTAAATCTCTCCCACAGTAATAGAAAATACAGCTGCCTTTACACTGCATTAGCTGAGAAGTAGCACATCACCTTTTCAAGCTACCACAAGCTACCTTGTTTCTACAGACAGATATACAGGAGCATACAACCCTTTCCACCATGACAAGACACCTGACAGCTGTTACCTTGCAATAGCTTATTCATATGTCCACAGTCCAGTTAGAAACCTCTCCTCAGCCTCAAAGAGCTTCTGATCCACAGGCTTTAACCAAAAAAAACATATCACTCTCACTTTCCTGTTGTATGTTCCAGTCACTAAAACTATTCTGAGGCAACTTTGTTGGTTTTTAGTAATCTGGACCTAATTATCAACAGCACATACATTCTCCAGTTCCTTGTAGCATAACAGTTTGCTCATTTTGAGCCAAAATTATCTCTATGCAAGTCTCCTTACCTCGATTGTGCTGCAACAGGACAATAGTGGGATTGACGATTGTGGTAGAAGGATAGGCAGAGGCAGACTTGCTGATGGAAGTGATGGAGCTTGGATAGTCAGTGCCAGGCTGGGGCACTTCATTTAGCACAGGACCTGGGTCCTGGAAAGAAGAGCAACACATGATTAGCAGCATGCCAGTGGTGCTACACTGGGAAAATCCGTGAAAAACCCCAACATTTTAGGCTGAATGAGAAGCATAATCACAGCAAATTTTAGTATAAAAGGCATAAGCACAAGTATTACCCTGCTCCTTGTACATACCCTGCTCATTGTTAATGAAATTAGTTTGCTAAGGCAGTACTATAGTTATTTGGTGTTGGGTTTCACAACTCCAACCCCAAAAGAGGGAACTAAGTTCATCTAGCAGACACTTTGGAGCAAACACAAGGTGTCAGAAATGAGCAAATCTCGTTTGGGGAGGGGGGAAGATGCAGACATCTTTCCCCTGATACATCCACACACAAACATTTGTTCCAAGAATATTCCTTTCATAGCAAGTCAGACATGCAAAACTCATGCAATTCTGGAATGAAACAGTATTACTGCAGCTGGTTTGGTAAGAAAAGTCTGAGGAATTAAGTTAGCACTGTCACTCAGGAGACAATGTGATACCTACCTGATTAAAGTAATGACATAAAAAGGCCCCAAAACTGACAGAGGGTACACAAGTAGGACTCTAGTAAGGAAGATGGATTTGCTGCTGGAGCACAGATAGCCAGCTGCTCTTGCTCTCCTAAAGCACCCAGCTCCATTATCTGCTTATTTCAAACCCACCTATGATAGATATCACCACTGCTCTGGCTGCTCTGTAGAAATACAGGCTGTGTCTGCTGGGAGACTTTGAAACCCAGCTCACTTTTGAAAAGCCTCAGTCTATGGATATTGGACTTCTGGTGGTGGTAAGGTGGCTAAGATAAAGAAGGGATGATGACTAAAGATTGTGTGTGCATCAGCTTACACTGAGATTTTTCAAAGCCTCTTAAGGAATTTGGACACACAATTACCCTTAATGGGGACTGAGCATCCAAACAAAGAGAATATGGGACAGCAAACCAAATTCCTGCATTCCTGCTGCTCCACGGCTGGACTCCAATGCTGCAAGCCACTGATCTGTAAAATCAGCTGAGCATTCAAGGGTATTTTCATCATTATTTAAAAAAGTCCTGAATATGCCCAGAATATTGCTCCAGAAAAATCCCTACATCCAGCTTTTCTGGCTAAGTGCAACTGCAAGTCAGTGCCCTTCATTCACACCAGCATCAGATGAAAGGACTTACAGCATCAGGCAGGGGACTGAACAGGGGCCAAAGTCAGGCCTGGCACCAGAGCTCAAAGATAAATCATAGTGACAACTGGCCAGAATCAGAGCAAGCACCTACAGCCTTTCCAGCCTGGAGGGAAAATGAGGAAGAACAATCTTATTCTGTTGGATAAAGGTGATCTTGCTTCGAGCAGCAGCTGGTCAGGCCATAGACGCTTCACAGGGACAGAAAAGAACCAATGGTCTTCAGGAACAGATGTCCCCTAGAGAGAGGGCAGCTCCACTTTGCTGACTGCAATAATATTCCAAACAATGCAATTAGCAAAAAGGAGGAAGAGTCGGGAGAAAGTGTGAGAATTGGCTTTGAGCTTCACTTTGATAACTAAATTACAAATAAAAATCCCCCAAAGAAGAGGGATGCTGGATCAGGATAGGCTCAGCAGCCCCAGTGAAGTCACCAAAGAGGGTGAACAAAGACCAAAGACCATTTAAATCATTGTGGAAAACAGCTTGGTGACTACATATCTGAAGAGAGCATGTCCAAAAATGTTTCAACTCTCATCTCAAGAAAGTCAGGTACAGCAAAATTTCCACTGCTCCTCTGTGATTTGGATGCCTCCTGATTGCTTTTTTTCTGGAATCTGCAGATAGACTCCATTAAAAAAAAAACAACCACAAAACACTCAAAAAACTCCTACAAAACACAAACAAACAAAGAACACCAAACAAACAAAAACCAAAACACCAAATCCAAACTTTCATTCATTGCTCTCTGCAATAAAAACCCTACCAATTTTAATAAAAATAGAAAGGCCAAAGATGAGAACTTTTGAAAATATCATCCTTGGTTGTTTTTTACTTTCCCCCAGCCCACGTGCCTGTTTGCTAGATCTCTATAGAGTCGAAGGGCAGAGCAAGTATCATCATGAGAGAATGAAGCTTCTGCTGAACTTCTACTTTGTCCCCACAAGCAAGCATAAATAAAAGGTGGCCATAAGACTTTCAGCACAAGAAGGTACTTTTTGCCTCCTCTGCAATTTTAACTGAGAGACACTTTTCCTCCTTGTCCTCAATACAAAATCTAACTCAAGAAGAACACAGTAAAGTCCAAGTTCCAACTCTTGTGAATGGAATTATTAACAATTTTCAAAGACAAGCAATTGCCAAATGAAGAAATACTCTCTGCCTAATCTATTGCATAGCACCTCCATGCTTGGAGGACTCTTAGTACACTAACTGATCTTATAACTTGTAGGTCATTGGATACTGGCAGCAATCTTACACTGATTTTATCAGGGATTTGTGTGGAGACATGGTCTTGTGGCTCCAAGTGGAACAGAAACCTAGCCCTAACCTTTAACTGGCCTGCTGTTGCTGCTTTAAATGTTATTCAAACACAATTAAGGATGCTATAAAAAGAGCCTGAAAAGATCAGTTAGTTGCAGCTATTCAGTTTATACAGAATTCATTACTCTGAGCAGATCCTGTGAAGATTTTTAAGGTGTATATCACCCAGCAGAATGGGCACAAAGGGAGACAGTCAAATGTTGCAAGAAGTCAAAAGAAAGTTCAAAGCTGCACAAGGCAGGCAAACTGCATGCACTAGCACAGGACGCAAACACGGTTTCAGTTGTCATGCTGCTGGCAGGGAGTGAGTCATCACTCCTCCCTCAAGTTTAGTATTGCAAGGAGAAAGTAATTTTAATCCAGGAATACAAATTTAGGAAAAGGGCGAGGAGGGTACTTGGCAAGCTTACTGTATGTGAGATGACTCCAGTGATTTCAGGCTTCAAGCCCCTGTGCAAAGCCCCCGTGACTGGAGGGACAAGTGAAGGTGGTGATGAGAAGAATGGCAGTTTCGGGTAAACAGAGGGTAATGTGCCAGATGTGGAGGGTGCTTGGTTATGGTGGGAGCCCCTCTGGAGATGTGGGGGAATGAAATCGTCAAGAGTTGGAAAAGTCAAGGGTGAGCCAGGAGGAACAATCGCAGGGATTACGGAGCCTTGCCCGAAAGGAACCAGAGGCGGTGGTGGAGTGCTGGAGCTGCCTTCTTGTTGTCTGTCTGGATTAACCTGAAGGAGGGGGACTACTATAACTCCAGGCTGAGCTGAGGTGGTGGCAGTGGCATCCTGTTGGAAACAAGGCGTTGTTATGCACTGGGGGAGATTGTTACTTTAGTCTAATGCAGCCATATCCATGCAAGGAATGCACCCAAAATGATACAAAGATCATCTTTCCTTAAGGAGACATACTTCTTCAGGCTTGCAACCCTGCCTCTATGAACACAATGTTTTTTCACAAAAATATTTATTCCCCCTCGCCACCCCTCTTCTCCAGTTCTTTGTATTGAGGCTAAATCAAACAAAGAACAGCTCAGCATTCACCATCACTTGAGAAGCTCTAACCATTATACATTATAGAGCTTGTTTCTTTTACATGTCCCTAAAATAGAAAGATCCTTGCCAGTCCAACCAAACTCCCTACAAACGCCACACACACACACACACAGACAGACAGATCAACATTGAGGGGGACACATATGTGTTAAATATTATCAAGTAAAAGACCACAAGACTCAGGGCAGCACAATAAGTGCTGAGAAATTAAGGTAGGAGGGGAATAAAGCATTAAGGGAACATTGTAACGAATTAAAGAACTGTTCGCTCAGCTGAAAGAAAACAAGGTTATGGAGAAAACATGTACCATGCTGCGTCCCATTGCCTTGTATGGTGGCTGTCGCTGCTGAGTAAGGTAAGGCTCTTTTCTCATCCTGTCCTCTGTGGCAGCTGTGCTCTGGGGCTCTAGCACTCTGTCCCTCACAGCTTGCGGAGGTGACGGCTGAGTCCGGGAGGGCTGGCCTGCACCATAACTAACTGCGTCTTTGCTGAGGACAATGTAAAAGTACGGCCTGGGAGGAATAGGAGGAGGAGGAGCAGCAGGAAGAGACTTTTCAGTGTCTGTTACAGAGGGAACAATGTTGGTGGCTGGTGCCTGAGTGAGCTCAGCGCCCAAACTGGTGCTGGCTGCTGGGTCATGTGTGGTGCCAGTGGAATTTTGAGATGCGCCTGAGCAAGTGCTGTTAGATAAACAAGCTACATATAGTTTGCTGACCTTTTTATCCGCCTTCGTCTCATGACTGGAATTCATTCCAGCCTTACTACTGGGATCTGCCCTGACAGGGTTGAGTTGTATGGATGATGCACCTGATGAGGAGTGACTTTCCAAGAGTGGCTGCCCAGCATGCACCTCATCTTTAGGGCCTGAAGAGGGAGAACACCCTGCTGGCAAGCCTTGCTTCCCACTGGGGACAGCCCCGTAGGGGGTAGGTGATGACAAATAACAGCGTGCACTGGTGTTTGGTGATGCACGCTGTGAGTAAGGCTTGGGTGCATTCAGGTACACACAGTCCATGATGGGCACTGGCAACAGGTTGGTCGCTTTGGTGTCAGTGCGAGGGCGCCATGCAAAGCTTTCCTCTTTGGGAAGAGGAGGACGGGGAGGAGCCTGATCAGGCAGAGTCAAGAAGGTAGGAAGAAGAGAGGAAGCAGCATCAAATGAAAGGAAAAAGGAAGGAAAAAAATTAAATTCTCAGAACGAATTGGATCATTAGACTTGGGTTAAGCAGGTTTTAATACAGCAAGAATAAAAAGCAAATACAGTATCTGGAAGGCCACTCACTCACATCCATGGTCCCACACATTCTTTCTCAGCACAGCTCACTGCAGCACACAAACTTAACCCAGCCCTCAAGTCCCTGCCTACGTCTTTCTCTCTCTGCTCTCAATAATTCTCACTACTGTGTTGTTCCAAGAGGCCTGCACAGCTACACTCACCATGCCCTGGGAAAGCCTCAGTCAAGATTTAACATCATGGCTAACTAAATTCAGTCTCATGCTTGCATAACTAAACACTTCCCAGCACTGGGGACATTTGAACTGCAAAACCAAATTCAGGGGTTCTAGGCCATCTCTGCATGTTAAGTGCACTGCTGAAAAATGAATATTGCCAATGCGAATGAAAGCAGACATCAAGTGAGTGCTGTAGCCTACTACAGCTGGCTAAATAAAAAGTGAGTATTTCTTCATTCTAAAGGCCAGCTCTTCAATTCTCTTTAGGATTTCTCCATCCTGAAAAAGCTTTCAGGAAGAACAGAAAAATTACAGTTTTTTAAGGAACTGAGATCATCAGAATTTGCCTTCAGAATCAAGATCACCAAGAGAGAAATCCTGCCTCTAGTAAATAATAAGAAAAGCTTTACTGGTTTTGGTACTCAGTAACATATAGCTTGCTAACTCCAAATCATCTGCCTACTGCATCTCCAATTACAGTAATTTTTTTCTGAAAGCCAAACTGTTTTGAGATAAAATAACAATACAGAGGTTTCATTTTATTTATTACTTTTTTGATATTAGCTGAAAACAAAGATCTGTTGGAAAGAAGAGAATACCCACCTGGTGAACAACAGCTCCCTGGATCTTTGCAAATTAACCCTTTGGAGACTGTGAAAGTAGGTTTTACAAACACCCCATTGTCATACCTTTATGGGCAAAGGCTGCCTAAACCACTGCTAAAAAGTCAAAACCAGAGAATGAAGATGCCTTAACAGCTTGCAACAGATAAATCTGGAAAGAGACGTCCTTTAAAAGTCATCCATATATGACAAGTTGCAGCAAGTACCTATTCATGTTATATGGATATAGATGTAGAAAAGTTTCATAAAATTACAGGTGCTGTTCCAAAATCTGCTGTCCTCATGTTGCCTCTCTGCCCCTCCCACCCTTTTCCTGAAGCATAACGGAGTGAAGAAGTGGGTTGGTTAGGGCTATTCTAAAAGGCTTCTGCCTCTGAATAGGTTCATTCCTTTTAGAACTTCTTCTATTTCAGCTCAGTTTGAACAGTAGCTCTTGAGACTGCTGTGACAAGTATTATGTACACCAGTCCTCACTCTGTTCATCAACAAGACCAGGAAAGGGCTGCAGGACAGCTCTAAGTATTGAGCAGAAATGGGTCTCTCTTTAGGGTGCTGCTCCTTCCCACACCCTCATTGGAGCTGTTCCTTCTCCCACTTTCACTTAAAATACCTGGTCTGTAGCATTGCTAAAGGGACCTTGATGATGGGGAGCAGTCACACTGATAGGGCACTGGGCTTTAAAGGGACTCTGTTTCACACAAGAATCCAGTTCCTAATGAAGGGTTTCCTTACCAGCTTCCAGACTGCTTCTGAGCACCCCTCAAAAAAAAAAAAAAATAATAAAAAGGATGGCATTGCACTTCTCTTAGCAGACTGACTTCAACAATTTACCTTCACATACAAATAACCTTTCCCTTGTTGGCTTCTGTCAGTTATAGTGTAAAAACTGAAAGGCATTTTCTCAATATTTTATTTTTAATGTAGGGTGCAACTCTGATTTCAGCCTGCAGCAATTTCTAGGAAATAAACCAGCATAAAATACAAAATAATTACAGACAGTTACTTCACCTTTTTTCTTGCAAATAGCGTTGTCCTCCTCCTTCATCCACTGAGGAAACACTGTGGTGTGCCTGAATACATGAGCTCCACAACACTTTGCTGACATCGGCGCTGCCCCCATTTTAAAGGCAGAAAAAGCTGAGGCACAGCAACTTACCCATCTGCAGTCAAGTTTGGAGTTCAGCCCAGGACTCCTGATCATGAATTCAGTGCTTGAACCCAGATGATCACCTCAGGGTCACAGAAGAAAGGCTTACCTGTGGCTTGCTCTCTGCAGAGAGGTTTGGACGCACACTCCTATAACCCTTGGCAGCCAGAGAAGATGGCTGGGCATCCCCATTGGCATCAGTGTTCGACGACGACCTCCAATCATCTGCGAGGGGAAAGAAAACTCAGATCACAGATTCCCTCCAGTTGCAGGATAAGTGAAAGGAGGGGACGCTTTTCTTCCTTCCCCTCCCCCCCTTTCTTTTTTTCCCCCAGGCAACAAGAAATAATTCCAATAAGCAACGGAAGTAACAACAGAAGCAGCCAATGTTTATACCTGTTTCTGAGTTTTCTGGCTCCAGACCTAAGTGTTTCACAGAAAGGAGGGACAGAGGAGGTGGGGGTGGAGGATAGGCATAGAGGAAAAGAAAGGGGGAAAAAATAAACCATTACATTTCCAGAAAACATGTACCAATTGAAGTCAAGAGTCAAGCTACTTCATTTCACACATAAAATGCTTTCTGACAGGGCTGTGTAATTACCATAGAGACCAGCCCTAAACATGATGTCCTCCTTGTTTCTGACCTTTGTAAACACAAGGCAATTCATTCAGAGCAATGAAGAAACAATTGTTCATTGACATTCTTACTTCAGAGGCAAAAAGGCTGCCCAGCTAGCTACTTTCTAAAGCTGCAGCTTGACATCCAGACACCACAACTTACTGGAAATGTAGGGACCCTGTATTCAGATTATGAAGACATAGCTATCCTTAACAATATCACTATATGTGATTGAGATAATGGAGGACCAACAAACAGACCAAGTTTTGCAGACTAAGTGCATGTAGGGTGTAATAGGATACAACATCACTTTACAAGCCAGTCCCTGCAGCTACATGCAGTGATCTCATCACATATTTACCTGCTTCTCACTGGGGTCCTCCCCACCCTGTACCCATTTTGCTGTTTAAGTGATATGCACAAAGCTCTTCCAGCTCCAAAGTACATTTCATAAAGCAATTGAGAGAGTCAGCAAAAGAAGTATTAATGAACTGATTTCCATAGTAATGGACCCATTGCCATTCAAGCTGTTGGAAATTTATGAAGCCATCAACAGAAAGGAGAGAGGCAACAGTAGGGGGTAGGAGTGAAGAAAGAGAGAAAGGCAAGCATAAAAAGAGGGTAGGTCATGGGTGGAGCAGAACAGGAGAAGACAGAGCAGAAAGTGGCACATTAGGGCTGGAATTAATGGAATTGCCCTTTCTCCAACAATAGAGTCAGAAACAATGTATGCTTTGCTTTCAGGAGCACGTTTTACCCCCTCCCCTTTAACGGCATCTTGCCTCTGGGAGTTCACCCTCTTTGCCAGCCCCACGACACTGGCCAGGTTTGCTATGCTGTGCCTGTCTCCCACAATTAAGTAATTACACATCTGCTATTGAAAGGCAGCAGAGCTCTGTGGCAACACTGTCCAGATGGGGACGCTTTGCCCGCTTCCCTGACAACCCAGCTGAATGCTGCAAGGGCAGCAGCACTTCTCAGCTTCCTTCTGTTCCACCTCATGCCTGGGGTAAAAAGAGATGACACAGACTGCCCTGGGAGCAGTGGGGGTGGGAGGGGAACAAAGAAAAGAACTGAGAGTTTTTGGTGCTCCTGACAAACTTTAGTCAATGACTGAGCAGTCATGAAACCAGCACTAGGAGTCAGTCTCTCTACTGGTCTGGTCCTTGCAAGAGGTTTCCAACTATGCTATGGAATTCTGGGCTTTAAAGCATAATTATAAAGTAAGCCCAAGATCCTGGACTGACCTGTCTTGAGGTTACTGTGAGTAACAGATGTCAGTTAACCTTCTACCACTTACTTTCAGGTTGCTCAGCATCCTGAGGACCTGGTGAAGTGACATTCCGATTCCCTTCATAGGATGGAGTTGCCCGGAGAGTTACAGCTCCTTTTCCACTGCAGACTTTTGTGGGATCCATTTCTACAGGAAATGCACATGCACAGAACAAACACATAGAAAGGGATGATGCAAAGCTATCAGGAGCCATCAGAGTGCCACAGTAATTTTAGGATGGCTGCCTCCAGGTGAATCAATCTAGTAATGTTTGTGCAGATGAAGATTAGCTCTGTATTTAAAGCATTGAGAAATCAAAGCAGTTTTATATTCATGTAATTGATGAATGCAGCAGTTAAGTTCTGAGTTGGTGCAACAGAGCTAAGAGGGAGGGGGGAAAAGGAATGTTTGAACCAAAGGTCACAGGGCCATTTGCTCTATTTGTTCTACTTTTTACAGAGATACTGTGCTAGAAGGACAGTCTTCCATTACGCCTATAGCACTTCTATAGGGACGTCCCAGTGACATAATGCACAGACTTTGTGTGCCAAAGCTTAAAAATGCCTTTTGTGGAGGACTGAAATAGGGAAAAAAAAAAAAACCCAAACTTTTGACCACTGGAAGATAAAATCTTCTAAGGATGCTGAATATGATCTAAAGGCAAGGCACTGCAAGTCACCTTCCTCCCATCTCCCCACTTCATTGCAGTGTTTCACCCTCTGACACAGGAACCCAAATCCCAGAAAGTAGGAGATTTAACACACGCCTATTCAGATCAACCTGTGATCATGATCAGATACCAGATCATGCCAGCATCATTGCTGAGGCACAGTTCAGCACAGCTTCTGTGCAGGCTTACCTTTGTGTATTTCAGTCCATGATCTGGGTTTTCTCCTCCTGTCCTCCTATTAAGTAATAACAAACCAGTCCTTCAAAGCTACTTCTCTTTCTCCTCCTACTTAACATCTTTCTGGAGAGTTGCTTCCTTTAAGATACCTCTTAAAGATCATAAGCCTGAAAAGTGTCTTTTTTCTCTAGGCTATTTCCATAGACAAACACATCACCTCCTCTTCTCATGAACTATTAGTGACCCTGCAGCTGCCATCAGACTTCACTTACCTCCACAGAGGCACCAGCCCTACCATGACTGCACAGAGAGTGTGAAGAGGTACTGAGTGCATGCTGCATTACACAAGTGACAACACAATAATTTCTACTTCTATGTGTTGAGGATCCTTCTGTCTCTGCATGGGGAAGGATGCAGCTCTTCTCCAGGAACTGCTATTATAACAAAAATGATGCCTTCAGACTGGAGAGAGGGGGCAAAGGCTATTGTTTATTGTCCAGACAACAGTCCACACTTGAGCAGATCAGTATTCCCTGGCTGATTTCAGCAAGGCAATGCCTCACCAAACCCACACCAGTACAATGCCTAGAGACGGTGGTAACACCTTGGCTAAGGTTGCAAACCATGCAAACCACAGCCAGTAAGGCCACAATATGGGGAAACATCAGTATGCCAGATGAACAACGGCAGTAAGAGGAGAAACTCAATGAATGCCAGACTCCGGGCTCCCACTGAGAGCCCTCTGTTCTGGAAGCTCCACTATTGAAGCCCTTACATAGGCTTCCAATGCTTTAGGGATTTCACAAAAAGCACAGTTTTAGATCCATACTTAAGACTATAAAAAGGATGGAGTAAGTAAGAAATCAGAGGATGCTTTCCTATAGTTCAGCCTTTAGCTAACTGAGGCAGAATTGAAGCAGCCTCTGTGAGGGGAAAGACTATCCACCCAGACACATCAAAAGGAGTTTAATCCTTAAATATACCACAGCTGATCACAGCTTAAGGTCACTCACATTCCTGGTGAAATAGAAGTTGACTTCTCTGACTGATTTTTGCATGATTCAGGTGGGGTCAGGATTCCTTTTGCCCAAGAGTGCAGTTCTGGCTATCACAACACAGAGCCCAAGGACTCTATGGAGTCCTTTCAAGTGACTCTATGGACTCACTTTCAAACCAAGGACAAAGGTTTAAGCTCCAAGACTCCAATTTTAAGAGTGCTGTAACTGCAAAGCATGGACACGATGTTGGAAGTCACTGGGCCTGATATAAACATCCACAGAGTGCAGGGTTGCTGTCCTCCTACAACCCTATGCCTACATTTGCTTCACAGGCACTGGAGAGAAACGGAAGCAGAGCTCAACACGTATGACATGCCAAAACAATATCTTCATCACATTGGAGGAGAATCAAATTTGGGAACCAATGCCTTTTTTTTTTTTTTTTTTCCATACAACAGATTAAACCTGTATATTGAACTAAAAGAATAAGAGTCAGAAAAAAAATTGCTCTGAATTAAAAAAAAAAATTAAATACTTTGAAAATATTTTAAAATAAAATCTTGCCAGACTATCTCACCTTGGGAGATGAAAACAAATGTCTGGAATTATGTACTCCCTCAAAAATGACAGAAAACAAGAATCTGAATTGCTCAGTATAGAAATCCAGCAGCTAGTAATAAACAGGATATTAGCACTGTACTAGTCCAACAAAGCACATGTGTGACAGATTAGGAGAGACAAGCAGTATCAGCTACACTAGTCTGACTGTCCAGCAAAGTACAAGCATAGTCTTGTACTTCTAGTAGGGAAGCATGCTCTTGGGGAGAGGGTGACAGCCTAACATCCTTACTCATTCACATGTGGATTAAATTCAGTGCATGTACAGAAAAACAAAACCATACCACCCATGTTGAACTATGCCTGAACCATTTGTTTTCATAAAAACCAAAGATATGCAGGAAACATTCTTTGGTTCTTCAGGAGTTTGGTTCAAAATGAGTCTATAATAATAGTAACAAATTTTTTATAATCGAGCATTAGTAGAAGAGCTTACAATGATCCCAGATTCAAGCAGACACAATTAGGTCTGCAGAAGAGCAGCATAATTGAGAACAGTGTATTGTGCCACAAGAGCTAACTGTATTACCTACCAATGAAATCTGCAGCTCTGGGAGGAGTGAGAGGAGCATGAAGCTGAGAATTAGCCAAAGCATGTGGGTGAAGCAGAGAGACAATGATAAAGGGAGAGAGACAATGATGGCTAACTAAGGCATGGCAGGGGAGGAAAGAAGATACCTGTAGGCAGCACTAGGTGAGGAGAACTTTTCACTTTCTTCACAGGGATTATTTTAACGGCAGAAATAGAACGTGTACATAAAGGGACGTCAACAGCTGCAAACACAAAAGTGTAAATGGCACATCCAAAAAGGAAAGAACAGAGCTTGGGAAGCATGCCACAAAATTTTCTAATGTACTCGGAGACACAATAGCAGGAAATTTCAAATACAAAAGCAGTCTAGAGAGCAATGATGCAACTGTTAAAAATATCCCTTCATTCTCCCTAATTCAGGATGTGTCTGTTTTATGCAGCATACAGAACTGCTTACTGAAAGGACTAACTAACTAATGCTGACTGCCACTATGCTGCAGGCAAAAAGAATCTGGAAGTATTAGTTTTTAGAAGCCACCAAAAAATTTTAGTGTAATCATTTAACTGAGGTACACTACATGCAAAAATAAAAATGTTACATAAAACATTAATATGGTTCAACAAAAACAAAATAAAGTGAAAAAAACAAAGTACTGATAGGCTGAGAGAAGAACATTAAACTAGCCGCATTACATTAATTCTGAATTTCATGGCTCATTTTTTACAAGTTCAACAACGGAAGGAAGTAAAATAATCTTGAAAAAGGTCCCATAGCTATTTAAAAAAAAATCCATCCATATAAACAGTAAATTGAAGAGATTTCTACTTGACTTCATTAGCTAGCACACTAATTATACTATATGTGGTAACATTGGGGAAAACCACACAGACCACTATGCAAAATTCTAGCAATTGTTACAAAACTGTTCAAACCAATGGGTACAAAGAGGGGTCGTTGTGAAAAAGGCAGTACTATTCACAGGTGAAGCTCAACAGGAGCTGCCAAGATAAACATCTTGTATATCATGACTCTACCAGCATAATTTAAGTAGTGTTCTTGATTCTGCAGAGCCAGGATTTTCTTCTATAGAACCTGTCTCCTGCATATATTTTCTGGAAAATGCTAAATGTCTCGTCATATTCCATGCCATCTCATGCCAGTAAAATCAGGAGCAAGAGGAGCCACATCTCTAATACTTTACAGACTAACACTGAGCACTGGGCCAGCTTTGAGGCAGACATTGACATCAGGGTGGTGTGTACGCCCCCTCTTGTGGCAGATCTTTCTGATACCCAGCAAAACTGGAGAGCACAGATTTCACAACCTAGAAAAGGGGTCTCAAGCATCAAAAGCCTGGGCAAAGAGCCTAACAGAATTTTTTCAAAACTCATAAAATTATAAAAAAAAATTAAACAAACCTATCAAATTAAATACTAATAAAAGAGGAAGCCAAATCAATCCCTTTTTCCACATTTCTTCCCGAGCAGAGACCCTGTGAATACAAGAGAACCCAAATCAAACAGCCTGTGGCTTAGGAAACAATCTTGATTCTGTTCTGCTTTGAAACTGACTGAATTCATCCATCCGCAATGCAGTCAAAATACTAACCACTATAAAAAGGCATCAAAGGAAAAGAAAGGAAATTAAACCAACAGAAAATCAGTCCATACCCACATACTTTCACCCTGCCAACACAGACACAGTCACTCCACAAAACTGAATGCTATAAAGCACACTGCAAACCCGCCGATGTTAACATGAAGACTGGTTTGTTTAGATTTTTTTCATCACTTAAATGGTTAGTTCCTGCTGTTTAATCCCAAACTTAAACCTTCACTTCTCCCTGAAGTTAACACAGCTCACACACAGGCACCACACACCCATGCTGTCTCAACTCACTAAGATACTGATTCGCAGGTGCTCACAAGTAGTGTACAGCTTTCCTCAACACAGCGCTAAAAATATACAAAGAGGCAAGGCCAGCCTGCCACTTTAAAGAGACAAAGAACACTTGTTGAGCTAAGAAATGCTGCTGTTACTAGCATGGTGCAGTACAAGACTTTTCTTGTGTCAGTCGCCAAGTGAACTGAACTTGGAAGCCCCCGCTGCAGTGAATTTCCGGGAAAATCAAGCACATCAGCAGCTGACATGCGGGAGGAGCTCTGAAGGTGTCTCTGGAGATCTTCACCCACCTTTTTCTTGTCCATTGCTGCTCAGCCCATTCATAACAGTTTTTGCAACATCAATTTCTTCATGTTCTGTAAGACAAATGCGGTGGTTTTAGTAAAGATGTTTGCAAATCTCCAAGGTCTTCGGCTGACAAGAATAAAACTGGCTTATGTAAATTCAGGGAAACACAGGAGACCGTGCTAGAAAGAGGCTCCAAAGCTCACCTAAAGCCCTGTTTCTGAATATGAATGAAACAAATCTACCTCTGTCACTCCTGACAAATGTTTGCCTGATGAGTTCTTACAAACTTCCAGCACCACCCTAATGCAACCTGTTCCAGGGCTTACCAGCCTGTACACTTTTCAGTGCTTACACTGAATTCCCAGGTCATGTTTTTCTGAACTCCTTTCAAATAGTTCACATTTTTTTCAAAATGTTGTGCCAAAACCAGGACATGATACCCCAGTTGAGACTTGCTAAGATGCTAAAATTAAGTGGGAATATCATTCTACAGATCTTAGAGATCTCTCTTCAAGTCTGGCATCTGCTTTATTTTTCACCCTGTTTTAGTCTGTTACCCAGACAAGCCCAGAAGTTTTCCTCTTTCCAAGCAGCTCACATTTCCCAGTGCCTTGTTTTTCTTTGAACAGCTGATTTTTTTTCTATCCATATGTCAAACTGTTTTCATCTCTACTAAAATATATCAAATTCGGATGATTTTTTCAGGTTATCAATAATTTTGAATTCTTATATTCCACACTGAAATAAGCTACAGGACCTACTCTAGTTCAAGATGCTTCTAGCTGCTTCTAGCTACTTTTTGGGCCAAAATTCAAGTAACAAATGTGAATAATTGCATAAGAAACAAACAGGAATATTACTAGTAACAGAAAGGAACACCAAAGAGTGCAAGTAGAAAACAACACAGACTTACCAGAGCTCATTGTGGCAGAGGGACTTGCCTTTTCTACTTCTGGATTTTGTTTATGTCTGTTTAGAGTGAAAGGCAGAATGATTACATTATGTTTCATGTCTGTCAAGACAGCCCTGGACACAATGTTGAACATTCACCACAAGAATCAAGGTAACAGTCATAATATCTTTTAAAAAATTACTTTCAAATGCCAAGTGGATTCATGTCAAGCACCATATATATTTTTTTTTTTGCTGATAATTATCATAAATTAAAGATTATGTCTATCCAATACAAGCACTGCTCCCAGACTTTAAGACTAATCTTCATGTGAAATTGAAAGATAGTAATTTAAGTCTAAGAGTCTATAAAGGGCAAAGTTCAAGTCTGACTGGTTCTAATATATAAACTGTGCATTACCTTTGGAGAGAATTTTACAAAATCAAAGTGACACTAAAAGCTTTAAACTAAAACCCTCAAATTAGAGCTTTTCCATATTTCAAGGCAATCTGTTGCTCATATCAAAGCCAGTCTCTCCTTTGAAAGATATAACAATACAGAAGAGATACACTTGTTAAAATGCATATTATAGCTTCTGCACCAGTCATTTCCAGCTGTGCAGTATTGCTGATATTTCCAGCATCAGACTCCAGTAAGTGAAAGGTGAAAGCTGGAAGCTTTAATTCTCCTGTTACCAAAGGCAGTGAAATTGTCAGCCCAAGAGAAAAAGTACCAGATGGGGATCAGAAGAAAAAGTCACTTTTCATGGTGATGCCAATCTGTCGAGGACAATTGTGAGACCTATCTGTCCTCACTCCTCTGGGGACCTGATACCTGCAGCAAACAGGTTTCAATGTCACTGACTGGTGGTTAGAATAGCCACAGAGCATTTCTAAAAAAAAAAAAAAAAAAAGTGTGTTTGACAAGATTGCTCAACTCTCTAAAGGTCCTAGGTTGAATTAAAAGTCCTTTAATTTTGTGTTCCAATCTCCACCTCTCCCCCACCAAAAAGTTAGCCCCAAATAAAGTGAGATCAAGTGCAGCTCCAGACAATTAATGGCTTTCATGACACCAATAGAAATATGCATCTGAAATCACAAAATCATGCAAATACAAGAAGCCCAAACTGAGGAGTACAGGGAAAATTGCTTGGCGAAACAAGAAACCAAACAACAGAGTTGGAAATACTTTTCCTTTTACACGAATTGGAGGCAGCAGTGGAACATTGTAAGAGGTGAAAATTCCCTTCAGGGAATTGAATTTTTTCTCCTGCCTCAAGCATCTCCTTTCTTAACCAGCATTTGTTTCATGCCAGCCAGAATATAATGAGCATGTTCAACAGACACTCAAAAGGAAAGAAAACCCAACAAGCAAGAAAAGTAACAGATGAGACTATAAAATGCGACAATATCTGGGCTCCCCAGCAAGCCATCCTAGGAATAGCTGCCAACACTTAATTGTTTAAGTATTTCCTTCACTAAAATACCCAATTAAGATATACATTGTGGGTTCATGAATCCTCAGCAGGATTCAGCCTAGCTCCAAGTTGGTCCCAGAAAAATACAATGTAACGTGGGGGGTACAGTATAAAATCAGCCAACAACAAAAACTGGGTCCAGCTAGAAAGGCTGCCTGATTTTGCCTGCCCATACAGTATCTGCTTTTTATTTCTACCATTTCATATTAGAAGTGAGTCCCTGAAATAGTAATGGTTGACACAGCCTGAAAATGTGGACAAACATACTTAGTAATAATGGTCCTTCTGATCTCTGTATGTTTGCATTCCAGAAAGATGCCTTAGTTCATGCAAATCAAAAAGAAGCAGTCTAAAATTACGTTATCCAACTTAAGGAGATTTGTAGCAACACTGTGCTTTTCTACCCATAGAAAAATGATACATATTAAACTCACTGAGATAAATACCAGTCATTCCATGGGCCAGGAGAGAAGCACAAGAAGGGGCAACACTGCAGTGAATCTCATCTCATCTTTAGGAACAATCTCTCTCTGAAGCTGAGAGGTTGCTGATACCCAGGTGTTTTAACTCAGCACTGGCCCTCCCCATGGGCTTCATGCAAGTCAACACAGAATTTCTTCCACTCCAAGCATCCCCAAGAGGTTGCAATGCTTTCCTCTGGTATGCAAGATTAAAAAGGAGTGGGGAAAAATAATTCAATATGTTACCTTTTCAGGGGAGGAAAGAGGATTTGCTGGCTATAATGTCTGGGCAAAGGCAGGGTCCATTGCTGCTGCAATGCCTCAGCAACACTTCCCCTCCCACAACAGGGAGCAATTAAACTCATGTCCACATGCTTCACCCTTTTAAAATGTCTCATTTGTTTGGAAACAGTGACATCACAACTGCCATGAAACTGATTTCAATAATGTCTTTTTGATTCAAGTCTTGACATTGCTTACAGTGCAAAGCACTGACCTTCACTGCATTAAGAAAAGTATTCAGGAAAAAATTCACACCAAAAAGAAGCATAACTATTTAGCATTAATAGATTAAATTACCTTTTACAAACAAGTGATTTGAGGAAAAAACCAAAGCAATAATTAAAGAAGATTGCTAAAATTAAATGGAAGATGGGTACAAACTCATTAGATCTAGATTGGATCTGAAAAAATTACTTTTCCACATATCCCCACATTTACTAGCAATTATGGAATTCAATTAAAATAATAAGCATCCAGTGTTCACTTACTGTGAAACTAATCAGCTTCCTTCAAGCACTCAAACATGTGCTTAGTGTGAGTTCCCATACACAGAATGGATTCAGCATGCTCAGGCTGAGAGTAACCAATCCTGAGTCCCTGCACTGGTCTAACTCCAGAAACTACGTTTAAAAGCTGATTTTGATCAGCTGAGAATCTGCACACAGATCTGCTGCATGCAAGTAGAAATAACTCCTGTTTAATTGACAAAATGACAGTGCATGTTTGGAGTTGAGAACACGCTGCGGCACCTTATTGCATCAGGGCTACAGAGTTATTCTATCTGTCTGCCACATACTTGATCCAAAGCACAAACTGAAGTGCTATTAGGCCTATCCCAGTCCTAGGGCTGCTCCTGGGATCAGATGGACAGTCCAGGCAGGTAACACGTCTGGCTCCATGGCACCAGTGCAGCCAAGTACTGGCCTGTACCAGCTGGGAAGGCACATGCTGTAAGCCAGGGTGCTATGGATGTTTGGATGGGACATCCTTAGGTAGACTAGTCCCTGCCAGGCTGGGAAGTCAGGCTGTCCCTGGAAACAGGTGGGTCTGGAATCATTTGCTGCTCCCTTCAAGAACTTTCATGGCCAAGCTGTATCTTCAGACACACACAGTATGCACCACAATACTTCAGAAGGCAGCGTTTCGAAGGGAACCAAGAATGAGGTCCTTCATGTCAGTGTTAAAAACTGAGAACTCCCTATTGCCAGAAGAGGCAAAGAAAAAAAGAAAAGTACTAGAAGTAGAACTCCAAAGCAAAACCCCTACAAGTCTCCTTTCAGCTCCCTGCTCCAACCAGCTAACCAGTGTGTCCTTGCCAGCCTGGAATTAGTGCCTTTCCTGAAACAACAGACATAGCAACAAAGGCTTCAAAGCTGCACACATGCAAAACACAATGAAAGGTAATGAATTCCTCAGGGCATAAACCAGCAGCTGTAACCCCGAACATGCCAATGTCCATACATAACATCCACCAACTCCTTGTCAGGTCAGTCCTACCTCTTGACAGATGTTTAACTTTTCCTTCCTCCCTTTCACCCCCAACACATTTCTCCAAGGCTGCAGTTCCTTCCCTACTTGGTGTGGAAAAGAGAGCAGCATGTTCAGAAGCCTATTTAGGAGGAATGCAGATAAGTGGCAACCACTTCTGTACAGCCTGCCTGGATTATCTCACATGCTCTAAAGGTTTGAATACTCCCCCTACAAAGGCAGGGGTAACAAACAGCTCATTAATAGTTCTGAGCAAGGACACATGCTCTTAGGTCACTGGTATCTCAGCTAAGAGTCGTGGGCAGTCGTTATTTTTGGTGTTCTAATGTGAGTGTGGGGAAAAGTAACTTCCTTTCTTCCCTTGTTATTACTGACAGCTCTGGTGACTCACATAGCATTTTAAACCTATTGCTATGCATGAGATGAACATTCAAAACTTATTGTGCTTATCCCTTATATTCCTGAGATGTAGACCCCTTTATTTTTCTCAGTTTCAAGTTTTTCACATTTTCAAAGTTTTCTCTCTAAATACAAGAAGAGCTTTAAGTGCTTTGTGGATGCATTTAAATGAAAAATCTAATTCTTATGCATATTAGTATAAAGTACGAGTTGAGGCTATCAGAAAAATTGCAAGCTTTCAGACTAAAAGGATGATTAGCAATCACAAAACTTACTTTTCACCTGGTCAGGTCTTACACATCACTGGCAGCACTCACTTGTTTCATCCTGGCTCAGCCCCTTTCTCACAATGCCATCAGTGTCCCTGACCCAAATGCTCCTCTTCAATGAGCCATGTCAGCAATACAGAGTCCCAAATCTGGAAAGTGGGCAAAGAGCTGCACTGCAGTCAGTGCCTCCCACCAGCATGTTCCTCTGCTTAAAGGAACTTTCTAGAAAAACACATCTCCTGTGTACTTCTCACCTCACATCATATAAAACGTGACAAGAGAAAAAAATAACTTAGAATAGAGCAGGCAGCTCAGGTTAACCCAGGGAATCGGCTCTCTCTTCAACTATCATTATTCTCTTATTCTGGAATACTGAAATATGTTGTCTGTCATTTTTATTTTAAGGGTTAAAGAACGTCCTGTCATTCCTTCAGAAGACATCATGCTCCTAAGAATAAAAGTCATGAAAAACCTGAGTAAGCAAGCAGTGCACATAGAATAATCACACCAATTCTGTACAAGACAACAGCTTCCACACACTCTTCAGCAAGTGTTAAGACAGCAGAGAGAGAGCACGGAAAGCTTACTAAACGAAACAAATGGCATCATTACACACCAGCTTGGATAAGGCGTTCTTATAAATAATTGAACTTACAGCTGTTATGATAAACAAACACAGCACATTTCAAATGCAGTACTGCTTCCTTCTTTTCCTTTAAATATAGTGCGTGTCTGCTGCCTTCCAAATGAGCAAATTAAATTATCAGGGGCATAGGTGCCAGTTTTTGTGCAATTTATAAGGAATGTACCTCTCTAAATAACAAAAATTAAATAGAAAATGTAAACTAGGAGCTACAGCTTTAAGAATTCCGAGATGCTTTTGAACTAAGTCATCTTACATCTGAAGTTGTCAGCTTCAGAGTAAACAAAGTTTACTGCAACCTGAGTTGACTCAGTTCAAGGTCACCACTTGTGGAGCAGGGGGCAGAAAAGAATCTCCTGGGTCATCCAGCCTACTCCCATGCTATTGCAGGCAACTGTGTCATACAACCCTGTGCAAGAACACTTCACATTCCAGTTTAAAACTGCTAAAATTTCCCGCCTCCACTGCTCTTCCTGAAAGCCTGCTCCAGAACTCACTCCCCTTATGGCATGAATGCTGTTTCTCATTTGCAACCTAAATCATATTCACGAACAGCTACAGATAAATTGTTTTGCACCAGCACAATTTTTCTGTTTGAGCAGGTCCTCCTCCTTGCACTCACCCCTATCCATGCATTTTTAGAAAGCAATTGCATCTCTGAGTCTTCCTCAGAAGTGCAATTGCATTCCCAAAGAAATTGGCCAGTGTGCTGCTACCCATCTCATTAAAATCTGGCAAATAGTGAAGACTTCAAAAGGTCGGCAGGCCAAAGTTTAAACTCCACTGAATGTCACAAAGGCAGTGAGCAAA